AACATGCAGGAGAATTGAGTACACATACTTATTTTCGGAGCACAAGCGGTTCTGATTGGTTATTGAATAATGAAAAGATGCATTGCCATGCAATACAAAACATTTGGAATACGTTTTCTGACTGAAAACGTAAGATTAAAAGTCATCTGCTTAATTCACAGCCATTTACAAGTCAACTACTCGGGCAATTGCAGAATCATTTTGATCCTAAGCTTGTAAGGCCCACTAGCGGCCGAGCGGTAAAGACGCTGAACACTGGTAGTTCGGTCTGAGGTTCGAATCACGCGAACGGGCTGGCTGCATGGGCGTTTTCGTGGTTTTTCCCATGTGTAACGTGTATACGAGCCAGTTTCCCTTAGAAAGTCCTCCACGAAGGCATTCCTACCTTTAGGCAGATAGCCCTCGTGTGCTTTGCCATAATTGAATAACCCATAACCCAACCCTAAGCTTGTAAGACAAACCTAATATCACTGGATTTAAACACTTCTTTAATCTTCCGAGAACGTTCCTTCTTAGCTCAGATTCCAAGAAATATTAAGTGAATACAATTATTGCAAAAGAAATTGAATATTCATTTGCACTACGGCTTGGTAGTTTACTAACGAGTTAACAAAAATTCTGCTTTTGTGTCTAAGAATATAACAATATTTTAAATATTTACAAATAAAATATTAAATTGGAGATTTAATTGGAGCCTCACCAGTTGCCTCGCATTTGAAGATTGTTAAATACTAATTGTTTGTTGCGAAGTCTAACCCAGGCTGCATGCTTGGTTTTCGTAGTTTTCTAGGTTCTCTTTACAAAGGTTCTCTATGAAAGCATCTTAATCAAATAGCTCCCATGTTCTTTCTATGTTCAAATAACCAACTAACCTAGTTTAAGCGCGATTTCCAAGGGAAGTTACTAGCAAAACCCGAATACTCATTAAAAATCATGTAGCTTGCCAATCGGGAGTAACATGAAAGATCCTGCCCCAATAATTGAATTGCTGTTACAGTATGCTGCGTCTAAATTTAGATGGTCATCCCTTAATTAAATAGCCCACCAGTGGCCGAGCGGTAAAGACGCTGATCACTAATATTTCGGTTCGAGGTTCGAATCCCGCGAACGGGCTGGCCGCATTGGCATTTTCGTGGTTTTCCCCATGTGTAACGTGTATACCAGCCAGTTTACCTTAGAAAGTCCTCCACAAAGGCATCCCTCCCTTTAGGCAGATAGCCCTCGTGTGCTTTGCCATAATTAAATAATCCAATCCAATCCTTAATTAAATATAATTGATTTGTAACTTCTACTAGAACTGACGGTAAGAATTGAAGTGCAAATAAATGATATCGTGTGCAATCTTGATTAATATAAATTTAAAATATTTGCATAGAAAAATATTTGCATTCAGACAGAAAGTTTTTTGAAATATTTGCAACTATTTTATAAGAAGGATTTATTAATAACCTTAATAATTACTTATTATATTACTGATGATTAGGATTCAGTTCTTGACAATTACATTCTAAATTAGAATTTTAAGGATATAATGAAAATACCCTACACACAAAAATACATTTTAGGATAAAAATCAGTTGATTTTTTATGTTTTAAAACTTCTTAAATTCATTTAATAAACATCGTATCCTCGTTGTGAATTGAATCCAGAATGTTGAGTGGCGTTTATATAATTATTCTTACTTGTCCACAGAATCTGTTGACTTATCCAGCCATTAAGTAGCTGCAGATCATTTCTACATAACCATTGAACTTCCATTAATTCAGTCTCTAGAGGGCTGTATGTTTATATCATAATTTGGCTTTTATAAAAATGATTATTCTAAATATTATGTTTCTATAAAAATATACTGTGCTTTAAAAATGTGGATGATAGTATCAGCCGCTCTTTCAGCCACTTCAAAAGCAACAGTTTGTTTAGAAATAAATTATGCAGTTAATGTCATAAAATTCAAATAAATATCAAACGAAAATTCTCAGTTTTAGACAATTCGATTTAAACGAAGTAAAGTAGCAGACGATAAAACGCCGAAGGTAAAAATTTACTCTTACAAAAATTTACTCTTATTTTTTTTAAAAAAGGAAGATAGAGAGAAATTTTTAAAAAAATAGTTAAAAATTTGAATAATATCATCTATAATTAAAAAAAAATAGCTTTTCATATAGTATTAATAAATATTTATTACGCATCATTGAGGGAAAAAATGTCATATAATTAATTCTTCGTAAAATTTTACTTGAAATTCAAGGTTAAAAATAGCTGTGGCAATTCACTGTAACAAAAATCCATAGACCACATTTGGCGTTATTATCGCTCAAAAAAAAGATGCCAAATTTCAAAACTCGAAAATATGTAAATTCGTGTATATCTTAGAAAATTTTGAATAAAAAAGTCTAATTTTTTGCAGATATGCTTAAAAATACACCTACTTTAAGATGATGGTAAAAATTTTATAGGTTATAATTCAAAATTTTTTTCGAAAAATTTATAAAAATTATTTAAAAATAGAAATTTAAAACATAAACACAAAAAATGGGTACATTTTATTTGGGAATGAACCTAAATTTCGAAATGGGAGAGAAAAAATCAAAAAAGTTTAATAAAAAAAGAGATATTAATAAAATATTGCCAAATTCAATTAACATTGAGGAGCTAAAATTTTGAGGGCTAATATTTTAAAAACTACTCGTACGATTTTTACAAAACTTGGTATTCTGGCATAATTTGAGACGTAGAATCGAAATATGGAAAAAAATTGGTATGTTATTTCAGAAAAAGTACGATTTTGTGTCAAAATACCTATGTTAGAATAGTGCTATATATAAATCTAATATATATCCTAAGTCACGCTTTCGAGACATGAAGAACGCAATTTGAATTTTGTCAATCGGTCCAGTAGATTGGGAGATATAGGACTGTCCCATTTTTTTTTTTAGCAGTGTACATCATTCTAAAGACTTAAGTTTCTAGATTTGAAAAACTTTGACTAGATTAGGGATCCTAACTATATTCTTGCATCAATCCTTTTTAAAGGAATGACTTTTTTCTCTTAACTCTAATATTTTTAACAGTTTTTCGTATAGTATGTTAATAATAATGCAAGTAATTGCTCATAAATAACTTAAAGGTAGCAACTAGACTAGGAATATGAATGAAAGTTTTGAAAAAAAATATTTTATTAAATTTATGTTTATTTTTTATATTATTATTTTTTAGTTTTACAAACAAACATTTTAGTAAACAAAAGTTACAGCTTTACAAATATAAACAAAAGTTTTAAAAATATGAACATAATACAAATAATTTTTTTCCATGTAATTCATTGCTGTATTAAAAAATGTAAACTTGCATCAGATACACTTTAGTCTTTTCTCTTTTCTGGTGGAATCCATGAATATTTAAAAGACTGACCTTATTAGTATAAGAATTAATGGCCTACTATGAGAATTAATTTATCAAGTTACCACTAGTAGTTTCTGTCCCAGAATAAATAGGTTTGTTTATATGTAGTAGTTATTTTTGTATGTGTTATATGGTTTTGTACTAATTATTTTTATATTAGTATAAATACATATCAGTTTCTCTAAATAAGTTATCTCATAGTTTTCCATGAGGGTAACCCTTCCAAAGCAAATTTCCCTTACATTCCTTGCTGAAATGAATTACATACCCTCATCTGGAAATATATAAATTGCTTTTTCTTGCTGAAAATTTAATTCATTCTTTGTTATGAGAAAAACTTATAATTCTGGTTTCTTATGTTATGAAATATTCTGGATTTTGTTGAAAACTATGTTTTGTGTATCATATCTCAAGATCCTTTTTTTTTTTTTTAAATGATTTAAATGGCTGAGGTTTGCACTCTGATTTTTTTTAAGAGAAAACAGATCACCATGTACTTCAAGAAATGAATAGAAAGGAGGGAGAAATTACAGAAAGATTTCAAGATGAATGTGTTTTATTTTTTTAATATATCATGTAATCTTTATTTAATAATGCAAATTTGTATTTTAAGTTGCTAAAAAGTATGACTGTCTTTTTCAAAAAGGCTCGAAAACCATTAACTTGCAGCCAGTCAGTAGCTTTTACTTTTCTGTCTGTCATACATCATCAGTTTGAGCCAGAGTGGTTGTATTAATACATATGGGCCTTTTATATTTATGAATTGAAACTGAACACTTAACAACTAAATAAAAGACTGACTACATTCTTCCCTGCAACAGTAAAATTCCCTCTAAGGGGGGAATTCCTCACTTGTTGAGAACCTCTTGGCTAGAGAATGTAGTTAAATGGATCTTCTAACAAATTATTTGCAATTATTGGTTTGGAGCTAATAAAACTTCTGATAAATAAAGTATGGCGAGTTGTTACAATTTTTTTAACTTAATATAATAAGTGCTACTGGGAATTTCAGTTGGTGCTATGGCATAACTTCACTTAGGATCTAAGGCACTTCATTCTCCATTTATTTTGGTAATGCAAGTCTAGTTTCTAAGAAAGGTTTCAAAATTACATTCTTTCCTAACTCTGCGATAATTTTATTAACTATAAAAACTACTTAGTTATATTTGAAGCAAAATTGTATCAAATGTATAAAATTATTTACTAAAAGAAATTAATAATTTTATATACCAAATGAAAGTTAGAAATGATATAGCTTTAGAGCAGTTATATAATACTTGTCTTTTATTCCGTAATGCAGATATTCTTACAAATGCCTTAAATAAAAATTTTGACTCATTTGCTTTAAATTTCTAAGAAAGGTTTCAAAATTACATTCTTTCCTAACTCTGCAATAATTTTATTAACTATAAAAACTACTTAGTTATATTTGAAGCAAAATTCATGTTTGCTTTAAAAATGTTTGATTTATATTAATTTATTATTATGATAAAAACCTGTTAAAATCTCTTGACATAAATTACATTTTATAAATACATTTAAGATCTTTATACCTATTAACAGTGCTGAGAATTAAATCATAATTTTCCTCTTCTAGTCAACACCTTTACACTTGGCAGCTGGTTACAACCGAATTCGAATAGTTCAACTTCTTTTACAGCATGGAGCTGACGTTCATGCCAAAGACAAAGGGTAGGTTTTGTATAAAATGTATAAATTTGAGGTTATGATTTGTTAAAAAGTTTTGAATGCTCTAGTTTAAAGTCCTGATTACTATGGATTACGAAGATTTATTTCGTGCTAGAATGAAAGGGCAAATGAGTAAACTCTCTCTCTATGTATAAAATACCTGAACACTAATTGGCAAGCTGTAAAATTATGTTACAAGGCAAGTCATGTGACTTTTGATGCTCGCCTTAGCCAAAGAACCATAATAAATCTGCCATTTGTGCTGATGTCTCTATTCATCAGTAAAAATAAATGCAATTTCAGTTCAGCTGAATTGCACAAAAGTGGCTGAGTGAACTAGACTTCTGAGCAGGAATGTTAACATGTTGACTTTTGACATTTGCAGCAATGATTCTACAAAAAGCTGTCTTCCATTTGGTGATATGAAGCCAGTATATCTGAATATTAGAGAAATATATTAATAAGTATATTATTATACATTAAAGTAGATTAATTTTATTTGAAAGTCATTTAAAAGTTTCTGATGTGTAAAGAGCACCAGAAAATAGTGCAAAAGTATAACTATGTATTGCTAAACAAACATAATAAGTGTAGGAATTTGATCCATATACCTTACATGAAGGAAGAAAGACATATTATCTGGCTGAGATTGTCTTTTAGACCAATGTTCAAAAGTTGATTAAATAAATGTGAAGTGTTTAAGTTTTTATTTGTATAATATTTGTTGATTTTGTGAATTTTGAAGTAAAAGATACAAAAACAAAATTTCTCTCTTTTTTTTTTTTTTTTGTATGTCTGTGAATGTATTGAATACTGTAAGTTTTTATTTTTTCTAGTGTGATTTAAAAAATAAGACATAATCATTGTAACTGCATTTATAAAATTGTAATTAATCCTTTTCATAGACATGCATAGTTTTTCATTTTAAACAAATTGTCAGAAACATTTATTCATTCAACTTAAAATTAAATTCATTTTGAAATTAAGTTTTCTGGAAAAACATTTGAGAATGTTTTATTCAGAATATTTTGAAATGAAATTGAAGTAAGATACAGTCAAAGAAACAAATCTAACATTTGAAATTAGGTACTGTCAAACAAACAAATCTAACCTTATGCATCCTCATATTTCAACTTGCGTGTTCTTCACATGGCTTTCTATTTAAATATCTGAGAAATATAGTAATAACATAGCAAAATCTTTAATATATATGTATACTACATCAGAATGTTGCACATTTAAAGTGTATTTTAAATCAAATTGCAGTTTACTTTTGTGATGAAAAGTCAAGTCTAAATGCATTTAAGTATAAATTCTATACTTGTTTGTTTTAAAATATTTCATTAGATATTTGAGGTAAGGAACTTTAAAAAAATTTGTTTTTCATTACATGTTTGTAATCTATAAAATGTTGTTATTTATACATTACTATGTTATATTTTGTTTTTAGGGGTCTAGTTCCTCTGCATAATGCTTGTTCATATGGTCATTTTGAAGTCACAGAGATTTTAATCAAAGTAAGTTTTTATTTTAAAAGTGGGAAAAACATTTTTTTGAAATATGAAGTAAATTAATTTTTTTTTATTTATTCTAGTTCTCAATAAAGTATTTCATTGATATTTATTTTGTAATTTGTCTGAAGTCATGTAGATGTAACTAGATATAATTACTTTTAATGGCAAAAGTGATTTATATATTTATGTCCTTGTTGCCATTCCAGTTATGCACTTTGTTTGTTATAGTTGATAACAAGTTAGCTCATTATGTTTTGCAATATAGTGTTATATTGCCAATGAAATAAAAGCACTTTTGATTTTGTTCCTGTGGAATTTTAATTTCGTGGAATGAGTTATGTTGGTTACATCTTTGTATTGAGAATATATTTGACAAGAATAATTTGACCTCCTTCACATATTAATTATATTGACTATAAATATCTCTTTTCATATCATTTGATTATTATTTCAAGTAATAAATTAAAATATTTAATATTAAAATATTCCATTTTCCTGCCAGATGCATTGTTAGGATTAAAACTAGAAAGTTAGAATTTAGTTAATGATAAGATGTAATATACAAGTGAGCTGTAACCCTCCTATTATTTTACAGTTAAAAACTGAAACTCGTTAGTGGTCTGTATTATTTTGATGTTCTGCATTAGTTTAAGATATGATTTAGTGCATCTTTAGTTGAGTTATCTTATTTGTTCTGCTTGAATATTCTTACATGTAATCTTATTAGATTCAAAACTCAGAAATCTCCAAAATTCGGAAACCAATGTCCCAATGTTTCTGGATCTCAGACTTTGTACTGTAGATATGCACAATCTTTCTTTCTATCTTTTTCATAAAATGCTTTTTAAGCATGAAAAAGCATCTTAAATTTTTCAGTATTTTTAATAATCTTAAATTTTTCAGTATGCTGTTTCACATCATTACAGTCTTGAATTAGTCATTACTGGTGGATTCTTGGAGGGAAGGAGGGGGGGAAGGAAACAGGAATATTCCTACTTGATGATAATTTTGTGCTGAAATGGAAAGCAGCAGTTAAAGCTGGTAATTCTGAATTGATATATGTAAGATATAACAAAATATGATAGCTGTTTCAAAAAAATAATTGACGACCTCAAAATTAACATTCTAAATTTGGTAATCTGCCCCCTAAATTCATCTCTTCTCACAGGTTCCAGACTTTTCTATCTTATGTAACGTTTTAATGCAGATGCCTCTCGTCCAATCAAATTAATTCTAAACCAAAACTGTGAACTGAAACTTCAGCCTTCTTGCTATGAAAGTACTATAACCTTTCCCCTTTTCCGCTTTAGCTCTGCTGTAAGACCCTTTTCATCCATGCTGCTGCCGCTTACTTGCTTAAGATGACGTCGTACTTCAAAATGGGAATTATTCTATTCAAATATTATTGAGAAATATCTTGTATGAAAAAGGATTATTTGATATACATGGAAAAAATAAAGATTGTGATTTTTCAAAATATGTTGTGCTAAATTGCGTCATCATGCTTTCCACTCTGCCACCTTCAAGCCTACGGTCTTCTCGGTCATCTACGCAGTATCGTAAGCTGTTGGGAGGTCCACTGCTTTCATCTACGCATTTTAAAATCATTACACACACACATATATATATATATTTAAACAAATTTAAATTCTTAACAAATACGTATAAAAGTAAAAAAGCAAATTTAAATTCTAAAAAAAGAAAAAAGCCAAAATAATTTAAAATAATTTAAAAATATGCAAACATGTAAAAGATTTAATTCTCGAACTAATCTACAATATCTATATTTTGAATTTTGAATGCAGTGGGTATGCCTTTGATTTCCAAACTATACTTTGTTAATTTTGTATAACATTTTCGAAAAAATTTTCACACTTAGCATGAATAATCCAATGCTTATATATTTGAGGAAATGTTCAAAGATTTTTAGATGCTAGAATTTGACTGTAAATGTTAACATTCTCATTCAGTGGCTAGAGAGTGTGAATGCATCTGTTGCACTTTATGTTTAAGTCGGTTAGAGTTTTGGATATGATGAATAAGTTTTAAAGATTTCCGAGGTAAATCTGAATGAGTCTGTATAATTTTATTTTCTATCTACATCTGCATAAAAGCCTCTCGTGCGCTCTTTTTTTTCCCCCTTTTAATATATTTTGTATGTATTAACTGTAGTACCAACTTCATTTTGGTTCATCAGCTAAAATGTTTGGAAAAAGTAAATGAATCTCAAAAGCAATCCCATTGTTGAACTTCACCTTTAAATTATTGTAATTGTTTCAAGTGGCTAAAGCTACAAAACAGTAATATTTTGTTTTAAAATCTATTTCTAGCAGCTGCATTAAGTTTTCTTGACTATTCTCATGTGTAATGTAAATGGAACAGTTACTTGTACTTGTACTCCATAAATAGATCTTTCCACTTATACAAACTGTCCTTGTTGTTTCCTTGTGTTCCCTTGTTATTCAAACAATTTTACTGAGTCTTAATTTGAGAAATTTCATTGCATCTGCAGGTAAATTGTGAGGTCAACAATTTAGGGTTCAGAGTTATTTTGATTGGAGCTATAATTTGTGATATTTCTCTTTCAGCATGGTGCCAATGTAAATGCTATGGATCTGTGGCAGTTTACTCCATTACATGAGGCAGCTTCAAAGGCTCGTGTTGAAGTTTGTTCACTTCTTCTCAGTCATGGCGCCGACCCCACCTTACTCAACTGCCATTCCAAAAGTGCAATTGATGTAGCTTCAGCACGAGATCTTCCTGAAAGACTTTCTTGTAAGCTAATTTTTAGATTTATCACTTATATTTATTAAGCTATAAAATACTTTTATTTGAATTTATACAGAATACTTTATTTGCATTAGTGTATTTGCAAATCTTCTTTTAATTATCTCTGCAATTTTTATGGTTTTACATCAGATTTGTATTTATAAGTTTTTGAATTCATAGATCATGTAATTTGGTTAATTTTTTTAATATGCGCAAAAATGCTTTGTTCATCATTTGGTGGTAACATGACTGAATAATTTGGCCGAGTTAAAAAAAATTAGCAAATGATAATTTATTTGTCGAGGTCAGTTTCTTTGTGTTCATTTGAGATCTAGAAAGATGGTAAATGGGTGAAAATAGCAAACATTGTGTACAGTTTTCACTACATTGTTTGCTATTTTTCGCCCACTTGTCTCTCTCTCTCTCTCTCTTTTTTTTTTTTCGCTTTAGGGTGTTGAAAGATGATCATAGATCAGTAAAATGAAGAAATGTAGGTCACTAAATGCTGCAAATAGCATTCAGGGCAAATCCAGGCAATTTCCATTGATATCAGCTTAAAACTTATTGCTTTTTTGTCAGTTTCTTTTGTTCTAACTAAAAGACTTATTTTGCATGAAAATTCTAATAGCCGAAATTATCAAGATAAATCTGGTAAAATTCTCTGAAGGCAAATTTTGTTATCAATTTTAGGTATAACATGATTTATGTGTGATTTGTTATATATATCAAGCAGTACATTTAGTTAAAATTAATATTCTTTTTTGATTTTTTTATTTTTTGCTCTGATTTTTTAAGTATTTTTAATTATTTTTAATTATTAGTGAAATATTTTAATTAGAATTCATTTTTTTTTTCTAAAAAGTATATTTTGATCTAAAATCTGGCAAAACAGCAACCTTATTTTGACATAGATTTTGATTAACTTCTATCAGTTTTGAGGGCATTCGAACATAGATTCCACTTCTTCAGGAGCAAAACATTCAAGGCAACAAGCAAAGCAAAACAGACAGTTTGTATTTATTCACTTCATTCTGCTCATGCCTTTAGTTATAAATATGATTGTTACTTCTCACAGTTTTGCTGAATTTATTATTTTCTCTTAAAGAAGATGGACCTGTGTCTGATCATCTTCAAAACTTTTTCAGAGTTTGAATCAAAATCCATGCCAAAATAGAGTAGTTGTTTTGCCTAGTTTAAAATTTTACATTTGCATGTTTCTCTTTCAATTTATTTAGTAATCTTTTGTAACTAATTTTATATAACTTGAAAACAGTGCTGTTGTATACATTGTGGGATTCAAAAGTTCCTGGACTGAGTCTATAATGTAAAATTTTTTTGTAGTAGTGCGACTACGGGAACGATTTTGCGTTACTACATTCTTCCCCTTTTCTAAAAGTGGTTTGTCCCAAATTATATGGTTGAAAGCTCATGGTTTTTTGTAGGCAGGTGCATTTAGTAACCGGTGATAGAAAGAAGTGGCATCAGTTGAGCAGAGAATCAATATCAAATTTTGTGTTTGCTTGGGAAAGAGTGCTACGGAGATTTTCAAAATGTTGAAGCATGTGTACAGAAATGAAACGTTATTGAGAACGCAAGCTTTTGAGTAGCATCATCATTCAGAGAAGACAGGGAAAGTGCTGAATATGACGAACACTGTGGTCGTCTCGTGACTTGCAATGAAAACATCAAAAAGGTGTCTGTGGATTGATGTGCAAACAGGCAGTAAACAATTTGCCAAGTAGCAGAATCAGTTGGGTTATCTGAGGCCACATGTCAGTTGATACTGACTAAAGACCTTAACGTGCATAGGGGCACATCGTTCCTTAAATGTTAAACGTAGACCAAAAGCAAATTTGAATGGAAATGGCGGGAGACTTAATCTTGGCTGTTGACAAAGATCCTTCTTTACTTGGCAAAATTGTTACTGGAGACGAAAAATGGCGTTTTTTGTACAACCCGCAAACCAAGAGAACATTGACAATGTGGAAATCGGCACAATCTTCACGGAAGCAGAAATTCTGCCAAGATTGCTCTAAAGGAAAGGTCATGCTAAAGGTGTTTTTTAATATTCAGGGTATTGTGCATCTGGAATTTATTCCTGAAGGACGCACTATTAACAAAAAACTCCACATCAAAATCCTGCGTTGTTTGCATGAGTCGATCTGGAAGAAGAGACCAAAAATGTGGGCTGAGCAGTCATGAGTGCTGTTGCATGACAATGCTCCTGTCGCCAATCCCTACTAATAAATAACTTTCTTGCAAAAACGAAAACAACTGTTTTGTCTCATCCTCCTTACTCATATTATTTCACATCCCGCGATATCTTCCTATTTACGGAATTGGCAAGATGCTTGCGGGGTTGCCGATTTAAATCTTCAGATGAAATTAAATATGCATCGCAGGCTGAATTAAAGGACATGACCAAAAATGGATTCCAGACATGCTTCAGTGAACTTTGGAGGCACTGGCAAAAGTGTGTTGTTGCACAAGGATCTTATTTCGAAGGAGGATGTGTTTCTACAATTTAATTCATAATATTTTTTTTTTTTGTAGACTCAGTCCAGGAACTTTTGAATCCTACCTTGTGTGTATATATATATATATATATATACACACACAAATATATATATACACACAAGCAGCACAATGTGCAAAATATATATATATATTTTGCAACAAGGCAGGATGATGTAAAAAGGGGAAAAAACGTCACTAGGAAAGACCCAATAAAAGTGACTGACCATTGGCAAAAACCTAACTCAGTGCAAGGGGGGAGGTCAATGTGTCGAAATATGCTAAAATGGTTCAAGATGGTGTCTTGGTTTAACAATTTGAAGAAATTTGGGCTGGGTGAAAGAAAAAATGGCTAATTCAACAAAATGTTACCAAAATGGGCACAAAGGTAAGCAGAAATAATGAAAAATAGCTATTTGTTAATTAAAGTCGAAATTCTTTAAGCTAGAGGGCGTTCTGGCTACCAGAAACGAAATGGCGTATAAGTTAATGACAGGAAAGAATTAGCCAGAAAATGCTTAAAATCTATTTAATAGAATTAAAATTATTGTGCCAAATTTTAAGAGGAAAATTGAAGCTGTGACAGGAACTATTTGTACATTTATACATTAGGACTTCTGAATCAGCCATCCACTTTACACTTGTCCCATAGGCTTTAAGCATAAAATTTCATTATATAAATCAAAAAATCTAAAAAATAAGGTTAATGCCAGCTTTTTTAACGTATTTTGAATTACTTTTTTAGGAATTAGGTTATTTTTCAAAATTGTTACAAAGTATAGTACTTCTTGAAGGTGTTTTGTTGTATTGCAGATTCTTTTAATTCTAAGCAGCTGTGAGTAAAATGTATTGAGGATGACTCTTTTTGAAATATTGGAATTCCAGTTGGTTAATTTAAGTGTTGGACAGTTGAATTCTCTTCGCTTATCATAGATTTTCAAAAAATTGTAATCTATAATATGCAAATCAAGGTAGACAATATCATGTTGCACTGTATTTGTAGTATTAAGTTTTAGGCATGAAGGGTAGATGTTAGCATTTTCTATCTTGTTGAAGTTGTTGAAAGGCTATTACATCATCAATATAATGAAAGATGTGTTGGTAATATTTATGATCTTCATTTATATATATATGTGTAACTTCAGCATTCATTTACTCATTTTTATTTGCATTTTTTTCCCCTTTAGATGAATATAAAGGCCATTGTTTATTAGAAGCAGCACGTCTTGCAGATCCTGCACGGGTTAAAAAATATTTATCTTTAGATGTGATTAATTTTAAGCATCCATTCACTGGAGATACACCTTTAGTAAGACATATTTCTTAAAATACAAGTATTTTTATTATTTAGTTTATAAACATCTGATAATTTATATAATTTGCTTCATTTTTTTAAATTAATGAATGAAACTTAGTGAATTACTAGATTTTGAGCAGAAAAAAATGCTATTGTGTGTTGATTTATAATGAAACAAAATAATAGCTCTCAGAATAAAGTTAATAGTAGTTAATAATGTTAGATACATTATTTAACTATTTATTCTTTAACAAGCTATGTAATGAACAAATATTTTTTTATTGAAATACTATTCAAATTTACATTCTTGGATTTAATTTGAGAAGTGATTCTGATTTGCTCCACTCTTTCATTTAAGATTGGATTTCTGTTAATCTGTATTTAGAATCTATAACAGTTTAATCATGTGCATTAAAATAAAAATAAAAAATAGTTTCTTGTATGAAGATTTCAGATTACCATCATAATGTTTCAAAGAAGGGCTTACCATTAAAAAAATTGGAAAATTTAAGAAAATATTAAAACTGAAAATGTAAAACATATTAAAAAACTGTGTAGCAATTATGTTACAATGCATTGCATATAATATTAGAAAACGTTTTATTAATTACTACAAAATGCCTGTTTTACTTAATAGCTAAGTTTGTTAATCAGTAACAGATTAGTTAAATTTGAAAGGTAAATTAAAGACTATATATTTTGCCAAATGGCAAGACTGAGAGAATCTGCTCTGTGTTGAAGGTACATAAGAGAAAAATTAAAAATCTGAACTGTTACATGGTGGCAACATTTGACAAACGCTGCTTTTCAATTCTTTCTATTCTTTTTTTCTGCCAGCTTTTGAGGCATGATTTTATCTATGAATTTTATTTTTAATCTTGAGTGAAAACGATACTCCTTCTTCAGTTTATTAAAAATTGCTACATTATGTCATTGTTTTTTTATTTTATTAATTTTTTGGGGGTATAGTTTTCATGGAAATTTATGCATCACATTTCAAACAAGCTCCTATTATATGCTTTTTTTAAATAGATATCTATTATGCATGTAGTTAGGAAGTATGAGCTGCAAGATTGAGCATATGAAAGCTGGATACAGTAAATAAAAGCAGCCATCTCACTGATTCATGTATTTTATAAAGCCATGTTTAATAAGTGGTTCACGAATTGTTTTCGATTCACTGCCCCTTGGCTGAATTCAGATTTTCCCAAGGCACCCTTTGTCAAATTCTAACAAAAACATTTTGCAAAATAGCCAATAGTTTGTGCATGCTTTATGTAAAAATAAAGCACATTTTTGAGTCATTAAAAATATGATTGAGTAAAAACTTAATGGGCTACTAAAATAATTAATGGGATGAATGAAGCTGTTGATCATCATACATTTTTTCAAATCGTGGAATTAAACTAGATATAACCATCCTTATCTCATTTTCTATACTGATTTTCAGGCAATACTGACAGCAAACTGACGAATAACCTTAATTTTGATAACAACAATGGTAACAAACCTAGCAAAATACTAAGTTGGATCAAATCAGAAAATCAAGAAAAAATGCTATTAGCAGAGCTACCTCAGCTCAAATTAATCAGAACTTAATTTTTCTTCTTTCTTCCTTTCTATGCCAGCAAAAAGAAACCAATATGCTTAACATTTATCCAAACAAACATTGATCTTTGGGTTCACTTATTGTGTTCTGGGCTGGATAAGATATTAAACTGATGCATTATCCCCACAACCACTCAAGAGCTTAAAATGCTAGCCTATACTAGTTAGAATCGAAAAAAACATGAAAGATGATTTGGTACTATCGCAGATAATGATTATTTTTTTTTGGGGGGGGAGAGATCTCAGCTAATCAAAACAAAAATCAGTTTAAGCTCATTTGCTTTTTCTTGAATATTATATTATTGGTTGTTGCACTGTGTCAGAAGAAAGAAAAGTTAAAAAAGTCTGGATAAATAGACTGCTCCAGTTATTGGATATCTTGATTTCTGACTTTGTATTGTGTCTGTGCAAAATTTCCTTAGTTGCTGATTGGTCAAAGCTCTGATTGGCTAGTAATCAGTAGGTACAGCTAAAATTCTTTTTAAATTCTTTTTGATGAATTTTATAAAATATTTGTGTAGATGTTTAATTAGATTTATGATAAATTGTCTTTTTGGGTTTTGGCCAGCTTTTTTTAGTAGAACAAGAAGTAGCTAGATTTCAGGCTTTAACTAGCATGCATACAAAAGTAATCAACTTGAATTATATAACCCTACATTTCTATAGATTTATTTGTAAATCTTTACTATTACTGCTACTCTTTGGCGACCCTCATTTCTACTGCCTTTAGTTGATTAAAGGTTTTAACTCTTGTTGCTTAGCTAATAAAGTGAATATATCAAGTAAAAAGTATATCTAAAACAATAGTATTTTAGAGCAAAATGCATTAAACAGCCTTGTTTATATATTGTTTGTATAATAGGTTTGCTTTTATTCTGAATAAAATACCAAATAAGTTCATATTCATACTAAACACATTCTTTTTTGAAAAACTGTAAATGGCAAGACTGAGACTGTAAGTTTTATGTGTACTGAAACAAAAGTTATGCTTGCAAATGTAACATCAGCAATTGGTATAAATGCCAGAAATACATTTTTCTTTTCTTTTTTTTTTTTTTTCTTTTTTTTTTTTTTTTAAATGCTGAGCAGACTTTAAAATAAAGATTTATTACATTCCCGTTGCAGATATGTAGCCTGCTTTTATCATGAATCTCATGACAAATTTCATGTTTATATATATATGTGTGTGTGTGTGTAATTGTAAATCTATTAATAGAAAAGTTTCTGTGTTCTAGGCATAATAATCTTCTTCTATGATCTAGTTTTACTATGACATTATAGATCTAAGTATAAATATTTAAAACACTTTAAAAATATTTTTAGCACTGTTCAGTAAGTTCACCATATCCAAAACGAAAGCATGTAACTGAAGTTTTCATCAGAAAAGGAGCAAGCTTGAATGAAAAAAATAAAGAGTATGTATTTCTTATTGCATAATTATATCTGCTAATAGTTTCATATTCTTGTTAAAGATTCTTAGACCACAAAGTGCACCACAGGTTGCATTTAGGCCAAGAAGTTGGGCAGATTGGTGGCTTTCTCTAACCATAACTTCATATAGAAACTGTAAAAATAAGGGAGGGGGGATTTGAATGTTAAGCTAATTTTTCAAAGATATAGAATCCCCATTGCTGATTTCTATGTTAGGATAAATATTAAGGGGTAAAAAATGATTTTTAAATGCCATTTTATGTGTATGACTGAGGTTTAATCACAGACCTCTGGTTGGTATTTGCAGAAAGCCAACAAATTGTAATAAATCTTGGTCAGATTTGGCAATAGTGCTCAGAAGGAGTAAATATGTTTCATCATATTGGATCTAGAGCACAAAATTGACATCACAAAACATAAATGGATGCACATGTGGTTTTATGCACTATCAATTCAATATATAATATGAACTCGAATATGATATTGGCAGTGCTTACAACTATAGAAATAAAGACAAAAATATAATTAAAATGCGTTTTATAACTAAATTCTTGCAGAATGTCTTATCTTGCTTTTTATTCTCTGTCCTTAAATGTAAGTTTTGTGCTTTTTCTGCACCTGTATTTACAAATTTAATTACAGATATGACAGAAATGTTTGGGATTATCAGTATGTGATTTATTTTCAGATATTCAACATTTAAGCCAGTAACATAAATGTTTAATGAAATAAAGCATTTTTTAGAGCTTTCAAATTGTTTCAGATAAGAGTAAATATATTTTGTATTGAAAGTTTAAATTTATTCAGCCCAGTGTTTGCTCTGTTGTCACCACGCTTCCCATTGTGGCAACATTAATAATAATAATAATAATAATTGAATATAATTCAGTAATTATTACTAAATGCAACTTTAATGATAACTTAATTATTATTTAAGTTATACTTTGGTCATCTCAATGCTATTTTTTAATTTATTGATCAATGAATTCTTCAATAATAATGTAAAATAGCAATAATATTTTCATGATGGCTTACTAGGTGTATGTATATTCATCATTTATACATATGGTTAGAATACATATGTTTTGTAAATATGCACATTATTTGCATGATTTAAAAAATATGTACATTTTTAATGTCTTCATATCAAGTAAACAAATCAGACTTACAGGCACCAATAATTTTTGTGTATAAATTGAATACACATTTGACTTTTAATAACATGTATGCAGTAAATATTTCTTCTCATGTAGATACTTAACACCTCTTCATGTTGCTGCTGATAAGTCTCATTTTGATGTAACGGATGCTTTGCTTAAACATGGTGCAAAAGTAAGTGTATGGCAGTTCAGTTTTCTTTACTTAATGTATGTTTTTGCATTTTGTAATGAGTAAACACATCAAAAATTAATTGAAAGGTTATATATGACTGAAATTCTTCCTGAAATTCTCTAAGTTAAGAGAAAAAATTAAAAATTTCTCTGCAGTTTTTATCTCAATGCAAATTCTATTCTATGTACCATTTTAAATGTGAGATTGAACAAAAGGTGAGCTTGAATAACAGAAAAGTAATTTATATGTTACTTTTTCCTTTGAAGGTAAATGCACTTGATGGTTTGGGTCAGACTGCTCTGCACAGATGCGCAAGAGAAGGAAATGTGCAAGCATGCAGAATATTACTTTCTTACGATATTGACACATCTATTATTAGTTTACAAGGGTATACAGCAGCTCAAGTTGCAAATGAAAGTGTTCAGAAATTACTGAGTGGTATGATGACATTTTTTGCTTATTTTGTATTATATTTTTTATTTAATATTTTTAAATACAGAAATAAATTTTTGAAATTAATATATTTTATTATTAATTTTTATTATTAAATTTGACTTTGATGTATTTTTTTTTTTTTTTTAATTTCAGTAACCCTGTATCTAATGGTATTTCTCTTTTGCCAGGCATTTCACGTGGTTAAATTGTAAAATGGTTTAGATGTAATATTTCACATATTATTTTTACATACCAATTTCAAGTGTGTCTTGTATTTTACTTTTTTGTCTTAGTTAAAAAAATAACATCGTATACATTTGATAGACCATTTAAATTGATTTAAACTTTGCATTAGGCATATTAAAAAAAACCTTCTGATCTAATCTATTAAGCTTTGCTCATTAATATATATAGTCACTGATTCCATATAATTTCTCGCTAATATGTGTTACAAAAAAGTATGAGCAATTCATACATATTTTTCGAAATCTTAAAAATCCACTTTACAAGTTGCAGGAAGAACAAGTATGAAATCACATTAGAAATTGTAAAAAATGCAAATGCACATGTCTCACTAAATGTTTATATGCTATTTATGATTTATCTATTATTGCTAGACTGTAATTGTTTTCTGTAATTAATAATGAATATGTATGTATTTTAAATGAATTTGATATAATAGTTATATTGAAGGAATTATGCTTATTATATGGAGCTTTTTTATTTTTCTCTCACCAGTAATCTTTTATATTATGTTTTGTTTTATTGAACTGGGGCATAACCTTTTTTATATGACAGTGTTTGACAATATCCTGGGTATTTATTATAGTTGAGAATAAACTAAATATTTTGGTAAATCTGAAAATATTTTAAACCACTTCATTGCATGGATATTGCACAATTGTTTAGATATCTCCTTACATTTCTTTACTTTCTATCCTCTCTTCCCCCCTTTTAGTACTTATAAACATTGTTAAAGTGTAAGATTTAAAGTAGGTCTGGCAGGCCCCACCATAGATATTGATTCTGAAAAGGGCTTTGCACATCAAAAAGTTTTCAAACCACTGGTTTAGGGGGTCAAAAAATTTTAATGTCATATTTGGTGCTAATGTGTTTATTGAATGATAAAGAAATCTTTCTGTAATATATTTGCAACTTTCTGATTTTATAAGTTATATATGAAAAAAAAGTAGGAGAGTGTGATGTGATGTTGTGGATGCAGCTTGACCTTTCTGGCAGATTTCTCATTAACCTATGATCTTCTTCTGGGCTGCACTAGAACAAACCATAAATAGCAGCAGCCAACAGCCTTAACAAAAAGATTTGAAAAACATAAAATAGAAATTATAAAATACAAAAGAAGGTATAGATCATATAGATCTCTGAGTATTTCCTGCACTGATGAAGGAAAGGAAAGCTGGTGGGGGAGATATTAGAAATAATACTAAAATAAAAGGAAAACACTCAAAACTCTAACACAAATATGCACCCACATGAAATATAATATATTATGCCTATTTTACCTCTATTTCTCTCTATAAAATTTTAAAGATATGTGGAAACTAGATTCATAAGAATTTTTTAACAATTGAGAAAAGAAAATTTCAAAATAAGAGTTTTGGAAAGATACTTTTAATTGCCTTCCATGCAGCACTTCTATCTTAACATGTAGACCAGGCATACCAAATTCAATATCTCAAATGGATCAAATTATCATCAATATACAATAATGCAGACTGCAAGAACGGGGGAGGAGGCCATTTTCATACTTAAAGACTTAAAGATGTATTAAAAAGTTATTAACTTAATTACATACTTTTCATTCTTAAAGATGTATTTAAAAAGTTAGTAAGTTAGTAACTACTTAAAGTCTTACCTAATACAGTAGTTCTTTAAAAAATTAGTATTCTTTAAAAAATAGAAGAAATAAGGAAATCTGGGTCGTAGGTAGGTACCTGTTGTTCCTTTCCCAACATGTAGCATTTTTTCAAGCAAGCAGCTTTCAGATGTTTGGAGACATGCTACTCATGCATGCAGTTTTCAGAACAGATGATGTATATCTGTTAACCTGGTTCTCTGAGGGGAACTTGTTTCTCTTCATTATATGAAAAAGTTCTTCAAACTAATATGTACTATCGAACATGGAAATCACATACGAGGCAAATTTGATGCTTTTGGGGGAATTACAGAATCAAGTATTTGTAAAATTAAGGGATATCCTTTTCACTAAAACTTTGCTTTTAAAGTTGAGTCACAGTGAATTTCTATTAATTCTATCTATAAATGGCTTGCTACTTTTTTCAGCCTTGATTGAGAAATCTTTTCTAAAGAGACCATCTCAAGAGATTGCATATATGCACACAAGATTATATAGTACTCGATCATTTGGCACCTGAGATTGTATATATGCTTTGATATTTAGTAGAATTCAAATTTTTATAAATACAGTCAAAAGTCGTTAATTCAGACACCCATAATCCGGACCTCAAAGCTAAAAACTTTCTGCGCATGTGCCGCGTTGACGCATGCGCATAGGCATTTACGCGTGCGCGTAAGATCTTTACGACTGCGCATATGTGTGTGCACAAGCGCAGAATACGTTTGCGCGTGCGCGTTTAATGTATAACGGACGGTATAAGCTAAAATTATCTAATTATCTATTTCAGTTAATGTTGATGATTGCATTGTTCCTTAATCTTCGAATTGGATCCGGCTTATTATTTTTTACAGACTGTAAGAGCAATTTTATAAAGTAAGATTGAACTTTCGATTATGTCAAATAGAATTTCTGATGCTGGAGCTCCCAAAGGATCTACAAAACGAAAGTATGTTTCGATGTCCATCAAACAAAAAGTGGATTTGCTGGATAAAGGCATATCCTTTGTTTATCTAACCGTTCCGAAATCTGTTTATCAATTTCACGCTGCTCTGCGCGGGGGAGGGGAGGGGGAATGTCGTGGCACGCAATGAACTGGAAGTTGATCTGCCAGCACTATCGTTATCTTCAGAGCAGGTGTTTTTATTTTATTAGGCTTATAATTCCTTACTAAATGCAGTATTTCATCTCGATGTGCTCCGTCTTTATGATTTAAATCAAATTCCTCGTCATTATAAATATCACAAATACAAATCAAATAGTTTTCTTGTTGCAATTTTCTAATTTCGGCTATGCGTAGTGTATGCTTTACGTATGCGTGCGTTGAAAGAAATGTTTAATAAAGTAAACAAAAGTAAACAAATAAATATAAAGCTTTTTTTGTGTGTGTAAATTTTGATACCCTTTAGATCATAATTGCTCTTTATTTCATAAAAGACGGTTTCATATTTTTAATTTTATAATTTCTGCATACCATCTTACCAGATTTAAATTGATGATCTATAATCTGGAAAAATCGATAATTCGGAATTGCCGAAGTCCCGACGAGTCCGGATTAAAGACTTTTGACTGTATATTATAATTATATATTTTTGATATTTGCACAAGGAGAACTGAGGGCTGCATAAGAATGAGTCAACGACCACATGCTGCCACAAATTTGACATGTCTGATGTAGACATGTTATCATGCTGATTTGAAAAAAATTTGGCTTGCACTTTGCATTATATTTAACTAAACTTGTGCTGAATACATGGAAAATGATAATAGTGGTTTTTGAAGTTGACAAGTGGTTTTTGAAGAATAATATATAATTTAAAAATCATTAATACTTGTTATTAATTTTCAGAACTTTAAGAAAACAAATCATTAGCATATATTAGAAATTTTTTTTAAATTAAAAAAATCACCTGCATATATTGTTAATTTATATTAGTAATTTTTAAATGCTATTGCATATTTTATGCAATTTTTTCATGTGTAATGCATTATTTTTTTTTAGATTGGGAGGAGAAGAGGATAAATTTGTAGAATATAATTTCTGTTTAAATAAAAAGAGTCGAGTACAAGAGTGCCTATAGTACATATATTCATGATATAGCTTTATTATTCTTTTCCATAAAACCACATCAGCATTTTCTGTTTTGAAGTTAAGGGAACCTCATAATCATGTCCCTGCAGTCTTCTTTCTGCCCAAAATTGATAAATTATATGAATGGCCTGTATCAAATCTGTGATAAAGCAGAATTGCTAAGACTTCTGAGGTATTCTATTCATTATTTAATGAAAGCCATTTTCATGGGGTGAAAAATAATGAGTTCCTTCTAATATTCACCTAATTTTTATGAATATATATAAACTTTATGATTGAATAATAGCAGCCATGCCATTCAGAAGGTTAAAGGTTAATTCATGATTATAATAATTGCATTATTTTCTTGACATTCATGAATAAGATATTACAGTGACGAATATGAACTAGTATTCTGAGTAGTTTTTCTGAAAAAAAATTAATAAAATAAATTAGCCTATCTCATATACTAAATTTAGAAGTAAGTTATTGACTTTATATAGTTATCAATAAAATTTGTATTTCCATAGAGCCAACAACTGTAGGCATCGATATTGAATATCAGCTTCTTGAAGCTGCAAAAGCAGGAGACATGGAAGTTGTAAAGGTATTGATTAATCATTTTAAATTTTTTTTTGTGGTTTGATATATTATACCCATACAATGGTATGGGTTTAAAGATCAGCCATACTTTTTACAATGTTGTGAATTCTCAATTTTAATTATGCAAAATATAATTTTCATTCTATGTAATTCATCAGTATGGGTATGTGTAATGGGAATATGAGTCAGTTTCCCTTGATACAAATATACTGCTCTGCAGAGGTATGCCTTTCCTTAGGCATATAGTCATTTTGTGCTTTGCCATATTCCAGTAACTACACTTAATGAACATGTACATTGATTAGAGACTATATCCAATAATTGCAAAGTGTTCTTTGGAGCATCATTCTGATTTTTTAAATGCCATGTATTTATTTAGATATCAGATTAAGGTATGCATTGGAAGTTGAATGCAATGCAAATATTTTCAAATAATTGTGTTAAAAATAAATTAAAATTATGCAAGGTTTTCTAAAGTCTTTCCTGCATTTAAATTCCCTGTAATTTTTAATAGATCTTTTAAATTTTACCTGGCAACACTGCATATTTGTTGTCGTTATTACCAAACTTCTAATTGAGCACAATGCACTTCATTTAGTTCATGCTATCGTATTCTGAAATCCAGAATGGCTGTTTGGCATTGTTCATTTGAAATTTTTGTAGTGATCTTTGTTTTGATTGGCAAATATCTTTGTTTTGAAATTATCCAGATCTCTTGTTTTTGCTACATGCAACTTTTGTCTGTCCATACCCAGTCATTTTTGGCCATATTGTGGATCATCATGTGGGTTCTCTACAGCCAGTCAATCAAATGCAGAATTGGTGCCTCTGAATCACATTCAAAATTGATATCCACTTCTGATGCAAGAAGTTAATGATTGTAAGAGAAAAATTAAGAGAGGTTCTCAAAAACTGAAAATATACCAACTAGTTGGAAAAAAGAGAATTTTCTGTTGTATTTTGTGATAGACAGTGCCCATCATTGTATCATCTATGAAGAAGAAATCTCTAAGTTGGTATTCCATTGACACACCACACATTTACTTTTGGGTTATTCATTTTGTGAGTTTGAAATTCATGTGGATTTCCAGTTCACCAGATGGGGCAGTTGTACTGGCTTACTTTTCTAGATATATGGAAGGTAGCCTTATCTGGGAACATAATGTTCAGCAGCAGTGCATTGAAATTCCTTAGTCGATTGGACATTAACTCACAGAGTTTCAGCCTGATGCTTCTCCTCATTCAGATAGTTCATAATTATCAACTTATAAACTTTCACGTGAATGCAAAGTCTGAATAACCCTAAGTAGCACAAATTTTGTTACATGAATTCCAAGGGTCTTCATAGAAGACTTTTTCTGGCTTATCGCTGTGCTGTTTCTGATTTGATGATTTATTTTTTCATCTGTCCATGATTGGCTATTTTGTTACAAATCTGTAACTCTTCCTGTCTCCAGAAATTTTGTGTACCACTACATATTGCTTTTTATATTTGATGTCTTTTTTTGCTACACCTGCTGAACTTAAGATACACCAGATGACAAGATTTTCACTCTGCCTACTGCAGCTTGCATTATCCCTTCTTCTGAACTGAATGGAATCACATAATTTTCCCAGTATGTTGTTGAAATGCATTTCTTCAAAAGCAGATTCAAAAAAGCTGGGCCTTTCAGAGGCTTAATGCAGGCCTCAGCAAATGTTTGAAATTTTTAATTTGACAAATAATACCCCATCTTCCTGAATTATATCTAAAGTTAACATTTTGAAATCATTAGTAATACATACTTAATTAGATATTTATTTATAAATGCCTTTGTTTGAATTCTTGAATTTTTTTTTTTTGAAATTTCAGAAAGGCTTCATATTTTGCTTAGTGTTATTTCTTTAATTACTGTATTATGGTGGAAAGTCATTAAAGAGGTTATAAACTGCTTTGAGGTAATTCAGAAACTATGAGTAGTTTAACCTTTTTGAGATGGTGGGCTTTTGTTTGTTTAATATGGAAATATATTAAACAAATTGTTTATTTTGAGAAATAATTTTTGGAGGCACTGTTCAAATTATTCCGAAGTTGATAAAATACATCAATAAATTTTAAAATTAATTAAAAAAATACAAGAAAGACTATTTACAAAACAATACAAGGAAGAATATTTGTGAGAAGAAGTAATAAAATCTTTTATGGAATTTGGAAGGCAGGCACTCGGTAAACTCAGTCTCAGACAAAATGTTGGTATCAGAATCACTAGACATATCATGCTCTAAATCTTTAGAAAATTAATCATCATTCTCATCCATGTCACTGATTGATTCATTTACCATTTGAGTATATCCTACCTCTGATAAACAACGCTTGCTCACCGTAATAAGCTTTTCAAAATAGAAAGTTAAGTATGCAAAATATAAGCGATAAAAGCAAAATGGAACCAAACATAGTAATCCTGAAAGAGCCTTCATAGTAGTGAAAAAAAGAATGAAAGAAAAGATTCGAAGAGATGTTATAAACGAGATGTTATATACTCGAATGTTTATATCATGTGGCATGTTAAAGAGTTGAAGCTCTTTTGTTTACAATACACTCCCCCCCCCCCCCCCCGCCAACAGCTGACACCAAAATTAGGCGGAATGTGATTAAACTAAAGGTTAGGATCCTAGAATTATGTTCAGTTCAAAAGTAATAGACATAGGATGCCATCTAGTGGTCTTTAAAATGGTTCAGCTTAAAATGCACATATGCATCACTCATCCTTTAAGCTCTAGTGATGCATGGATGAGACACCTGGCTGTGAGAGACTTTCTTAGGGAATGCATATATGGCACACCCATCTGGAAATTGTTAAATAAGTGTTGTATGTAGCAACACAATCATCTTTCATTTTGAATCAGTTATTTATGCCACCAATCACTGGGAATATGACTTGTTTTTTGTGTGCTGCTAATATCTTTCTAGAGGTGAACAATGAATTTGACTGTTGAATTATACAGTGTTATAGTATTTTTGCTGCAATTTAGTGAAAATCACCGAGGCTTATTGATTCATGGTGTATTTTATGTCATGATCATGCTAAGGCTCATGTTGTAGCAGCCCAGAGACTTGGATGGTGTAGGTATTATGACCCTGATACATAGATGGGTCTCATTACTGGTGGAGGTTGAGTGGAAAAATAAAACTAATTTCTACACTAGTAATTTATACAGTTTTATTTCTATAGCCATTCATAACCTATTGACTAATTACCCTGTGCATTATTATTACTTATAACTTTTATGAATTCTTTTTCTCTTTATTATTCATCCTAATCTAGCATTTAAATAGATTTAATGAAATTAATTTTAAAATTACACTCTTTATGATTAGTTAAGATATTTGCTCATAATTGCACATTATTCTAAAAAAATCTGTCTTTTCCTACGTATAATAGAGGATATTAGCTACTCATTTACCTGTTGTCAACTGCCGAGATGTTGATGGTAGACAATCTACTCCTTTGCATTTTGCTGCTGGATACAACAGGGTCTCTGTTGTGGAGTATCTCCTACAGCATGGTGCTGATGTCCATGCTAAAGATAAAGGGTAAAAGGACTAAACATTATTATACTAATGATGAACATTCATAAAATTTCTGTCTGTAGAAAATCTTTTATTTTCTTCAAAAGTATAACTTTATGTATTTATGTAAATTTTTTTTATAGAGGTTTGGTTCCTTTGCATAATGCTTGCTCATATGGTCATTATGAGGTTGCAGAATTGCTTGTAAAGGTATGGATGTTTTCTTGATTTATAGTGTAGATATTTGAATTATTTCTCATATAACAGTGTTACAGATAATATGTATATTTGGGTTTTAACTCATTAACATTTAATTTTGGTGGGTACAAACAATATCAGTTTCTCTAGCATGTGGTTGTGTACTTTAATTAAAATCTATAGAAACAAGACAAGTTTAGTAACCATGATTGTGAATAAAAATGTGATAGTCTAAGTAAGTTTTAAAAAGTTTAAATATTGAAATGGATTTTTGGTGATTTTACTAAATATATATTAGAATGATTGATAAAGCCTTATAAAGATGCAAATTATTCATATTCAAGTTACAATTGATTTTACACAAGTTACTTAAGCGCTCATTTTCTCATTTTTCTCTTATTTTACTCAAGTTACCAAACACGAAACAATAGAAGCTTTTAACAGCATACCTCAGAACATCAAAGGTGGATCCTCTGTTGTTGGGAGGAAAGTTCTGCGATTGTTTGAGGGCATTGAGTCTTAAGCATCTTTTCTTGTGATATATGCTGGTTTAAGCTGATCGATGCTGACTGTCTTAGCTTTGCCCCATATGGAAATTGTGACAACTTTGTCGCCTCGACTGATCACTTCATAAGGGCCTTCATATGGCAGCTGAAGGCTTTTTTTTACTACATCCATTCGAAGAAAAACATGTCTGCAGGTGGCAGTCTTTGCTGACGAATACCGCTTGCTCGCCATGAGGTTGATTTGTAAGAGGTAAGAGCCATTGCATAGATTCTCGAAGCTTTCTGACAAAAAGTCACTGGGTCTGGGGTTCCAGGAGAAGGGCACAGGAATTCTCCTGGGAGGTGAATTGCAGCTCCGTACACGATTTCTGCTGGGGTTGCTTGCAGATCATGCTTTCAAATGGGTCTGAACCCGAATAAAATTGTCAGCAATACGGCAATCCACTGCTTAATGCTATGTGCCATGATTGCAGATTTCAGCTGTCGATAAAATCTTTGAAATTGGCCATTTGCGGACAGATGGTATGGAGATGTGTGGTGTCGAGCTGTACCCAAGAGATTGGTTAATGCATCACAGAATGATGATTCAAAATGTCTTCCTTGGTCGGTAGTTAGTCGTATTGGGGGTTCGAATATGGAGATCCAACCTGCATAGAAGGCTGCTGCAACAGTCTGTATGGATATATCTACTAACGAAAATGCCTCGGGCCACTTAGAAAAATGATCGATACATGTAAGAAAGTATTGAAAGCTTTTAGATGGAGGGAGAGGTCCCACGAGGTCAATGTGCATGTGTTCAAAACTAGCACTAGGTATCACAAAAGCACCAATTTTACTTGTGGTATTGTGTGTCACTTTAAATTTCTGACCCTGTAAGCACTCATGAGCCCAAGATACCACATCTGCTTTCATTAAAGGCCAAACATTGTCAATCAGCTTTACTGAGACTTTAACTCCTGGGTGTGAGAGAGGGAAGGCTGCTAAACACTGCTCGACAAAATGACTGTGGAACGAAAGGGTGAATGTGACCTGTGGAGATATCACAATGCAGAATAACTGGAGGCTGATCAATTGGGAGGGGCTGAAGCACTAATGAAGTAGTCAAATTTCCTGATAAAATATTTTGCAATTCTGCATCATTTTCCCGCTCCTCGGCAAGCTGCTAGTAGTTGATAGCAGATGGTGTGCAAATAGTAGCTATATGAATCTAAGACACTGCATCCACTACTACATTGTCTGAACCTTTTAAGTAGCAAATATCAGCTGTAAATTGGCTTAAGTCAAATAAAATTAAGGTACGACTTTCGACCAAATGTCGAAAGTGCTTTATGGCATATATGACGCAAGGAGCATTCTATTGTATGCACTGTATCTCTGTTGCATTGGAGATAGCTTTTTTGTGTAAAAAGCAAGAGATAGTTTTTTTTTTTTTGGAGTAAATTCCAAGAGCTTGCCATCCTTTTTCAACTTGTTGGTGAAGTGCTGCAGCCATAGTGGTGTCAGAAGCGTGTCAGCTACAATTGCGAGTAGGGCGTCTGATGAAGGATGGTATAAGATTGTAGCATCTGACAGATCTTTCGTACATTTCTCAAATGCATTTGTGGTTACTTGCATTCGTGCGATTGATCTTTTGTCATTTTTCGTCGTTCCCTTTAGGTATGTATTAGGTAATGCTTGAGTTTTGGCTGATTGCACTCTGTAACTGGGAGCGGAACTACCGAGACATCTGCTCCCGTATCAATCAGGTACTTTGATGCTGTGGATTTATCTGAGAGGTATAAACAATAAATTTAAGTTTTGTCATACCCGTAGAGTCGAATGACAGCAGCACTAGTTTTCCGCCTGAAAGGTACAGTGATTTGTGCACTTGGTAGCTTTTTCTTTAAAACACTGATGGTACCAGCAGTGCTCTGTATTACCTTGTTGTTGGCGGCTTGATGAACGGTTTTTTTGTTCTGCTGCTTTCGTTAAGTTGAACGCAATCTGGAGCGTGTTTCAATCCAAGAAAGGCGGGATGATATATCCATTAGTAATTCTTTTAGCACAGAGTCTTCTGTTTTTACTTCAAACACTCGTTCACCATTTCTGGTAGCTGCTATGATACTATCGGCCATTTTGGTGAGCTTGTCTAATGAGTCATTTGAAATGGCTAAAATCTGTTGTGCATGTGTTGACAAGTCACTGCAGAAAAAGCAATTTAAGAAGATCCTCAGTCATTCATGAACCAGCCTTACTTCGCATCTCCGATAAGAGGCATGATTGTTTTTTGTCGCCAAGCTGCATCCCAGAAATGAGGTCTCTGAGCAGCTGTTCCTCAGTGTCGGCATATTGCATGCAGAGACAGTTTTTGATTGCTGTCACCGCTGCATATTTATTGCTATATTTCCAGTGGCTTGATCTGTGCCATTATTTTCCGTTTTATCAACTAAATTAAATATTGCAGAAGAGAAATAGAATGCTTGATAAAAACCTTATAAAGACACAAATTATTCATATTCAAGTTAGAATTAATTTTACACAAGTTACTTAAGCACGCAAGGAAATATTACAACATATCCAAACACGGAACAATAGGAGCTTTTAACAGCGAACATCCTGCAAACTTAATATGTGTATGCACATCTGGAAACATTCATTTATGATAAAAAACCTCATCTCCAATGCCTCTAGAGCTATGCTTTTGTTAATCATAAAATATAGGTACTCTGTCGCTTTCAGCTGCAGTACGGACTAAGAGATTTGCAAACAGTTTCTGACAAGAAAGTGTTCCCAACACCCCAGGGGATCTTGGTTTTAACTTCTGTGGCTGAAATTTCTCCTAAACATGTTTTATTGAAGCACCACATAATAGATATAAAAGATAAAGGAACATAAAAGATAAGATAACACCACATAAAAGATAAAGGAATGAACTCCAAATAACTTTTATCATTCTAGATCTGAATAATCAGGCTTTCACCAGTTTGAGTTTTGTAAGCAGAAGAGATGAGTTTAATAAATGGTGGTTTTTCTGTTGTTTAGTATATGTTTGTTTTGGTTTCTGAAAGTTTGAATGCAAAAAGCAACTGAGTTTAATACACAACAGGCACATTATGTGTTTGTAACCTTAAAATTTAAGGAGGGTATTATTTTTGAGTAAATATAAGATTTAAGAAGAAATGCTGAAAACATATCATAATAGTGTAGCGATTTAGAAAATATTTTATCTATTGTAAATTCGTATTTTACTAATTACACTGAATCTTAATTCACTACTTGGGAGTTTAAAAATATCCTTGAAGGCATTGTTATTATTACTTAATGCTTAGGGATTTTTACATGATTGTGTATTTTATTACATTTACAAAAACACTTTTTTTTTTAACTATTGCATGTGAAGTATCAGTTATGTGTGAAATAGGGGAAAAACTGTAACAATAAGGCAAAAAATAGGAAAGTAAGCCAAAATAAATAAATGAAAAAAGAGAAAGTTGGAAAAGTAATTAATGAAATTAACTTCTTAGATTTTAGTATTCTAATATTAAGCATTAGAAAATTGCTTATTAAATATTAAAAATCAAAAGATGATTTACTTTGTTGATGATTACTAAAAGATGATTTACTAAAATTGCTATAAAAATAAAATTTTATAATTAAATATAATTCTTTTTAATTTTATCTTTAGAAAATGTATGTCACTGTTCTGCAGCATATCAAAATATAGATAATTCATAATGTTTGCTATTAAAATTTTAATTTTAGAAAGAAAAAAAAAAAAAAAGCAGACATTGCAAATTAATGAAGAAAATTAATGTATTTGTTCCTATTCGATATTTTAGTATGGTGCCAATGTAAATGTTGCTGACCTCTGGAAATTCACACCATTGCATGAAGCTGCAGCTAAAGGAAAATATGAAATTGTAAAACTGCTTTTAAAGGTTTGTTGAATTTTTAGTTTATTGGTTTATAAAATAAATTTATATGGATTATATCTGTGACCTCTCTTATTTAATTCATAAAATGATTTCACAAGAATTTTAGAAGTTTTTCAATTCATTTTTTGTTGATTACAGCATGGTGCTGATCCAACAAAAAAGAATCGTGATGGTCATACACCTTTAGATTTGGTTAAAGAAGGAGATCAGGATGTTGCAGATTTGTTAAGAGGTTGGTGTTTGTATTATTTATTTTTGATAAATGAAACTATTTTCTGACAAAAACTATAATAATATATATTGTAATATTCTATGAATTAAAACTATTCTTTCTTATTTGATTATTTCTTTTGCAGGTGATGCTGCTTTATTAGATGCTGCAAAGAAAGGTAACCTCAGTAGAGTTTTAAAATTGGTAACACCAGAGAATATTAACTGCCGAGATTCTCAGGGTAGAAACTCCACGCCTTTGCATCTTGCAGGTTGGTTTTGCTTTGTTTTTGTGTGTTTGTAACGTGCATGTGTGGATTTTATTGCAAAGCTTTCTTTAAAATTTAACGAATAAATGATTTTCTTCCATAAAATACACACATATATGCCCCCTCAAAAAATTGTCAAAATAAACATCTGATTTATGGTCGCAGTATACAGTGTAGAATGATCTAAAAGAATAACATTGAAGGTTATAATTGTTGTTAATATCTTTAAAATACATAGAAGTATTATTAGTTTATCCATTTATATGTACTTTTTAATTTCCCTTGCATAATGTTTACATTCTGCATAACTTTCTTGTCTTGAGATTCAAAAGGTAATATTAATATTAGAGTTTACTGAACTCTACTAAAATGCCAGTGCATAAATGAGAGTCGCTATTTATTATTATTATTATTTTAAAAGTAATTAAGCTAGCTTAATTAATTTCTCTTGATAATGTTTCCAGTCTAAGGTACAATTGCTAAATTTTGGGTTATCTAGAAAGTTCTCTGTTTGTTTTTATTTTTTTATGAGCAGTATAAATAAAGCATTACAAAAGTATGAGAAGATTTCATTGAATTAGAAAAACACGATTTTGTTCTATGGCTTTTGCCATCTCTCTGGCAGCTAGGGGGGGGAGTAAGTTTATTTATAAAGAATCAAGGTGCTGTTTAACAGTCTTCAAAGAAGTGAACTCCATTCATCAAGTTTTAAATTTTAAAGTGACCTAAAGAGATGAAAATCCAAGAGTGCAGGGTCTTGTGAATATGGGGGACGGCATAAAACATCCCAGCCCCCATACTTTATAAGTCTTTGTCTCACATTCATCGAAACGTGAGGATGAGAATTGCCAAGACAATACTGTGACAGGGTTCATATGGTCCTTAAGAGCCCTTAGATTTTTTGGAATCGATTTTTGGTCCTTAAAAGTCCTTAATTTTGGCCAAAACCAGCAGAAGGTCCTTAATTTTAATCATCTGAAATTTCTTCTGTTTTTATGACTGTCATTTTGAGTGTGAATTAGCATTCTGGAGGAATACATTTGGCGATTCACTGCCGTATATATGGTTATCTTTTGAATGGGTTCATGAGTTTTAATTTGTTTCTATTTCTAATATAAAACATGGGATACTTGAGTTTCTAAGCAAGAAGTGAAACATAAGCATTTCGAAATTAATTTTTTCTAATAAAGAGCTCTTAAACAACATTTCGCTTTTGGGGATGTGAATATTTTTATTAAACTGTTCTAAACTTGGCGACGTTTCAACGTTTTGCAGATTTTAAGATTAGTTTCTATAGAAACTTTTTAATTCCGAGATCTGAGAATTTTTCGAGGATTTTTTTTTTAAAACATTGTAACATTGATAAATTTCATTAAAATAATGGTAATTATATTGAAATTATATTTAAAAAACAACATTAAAATAAAAAATTTTTACTTTTCGCTGTTGTATTATAAAGTTTCAGTTTGGCAACTTATTATACACTATTTTGAATGTGAAAAATAAACAAGGTATAATGCTATAAAGCACAATTTACGAAACAGCTCTTAGCAAAAGCAAAATTAGCTATGTAATTAATTAAATGTAGTATATTAGCTATGTAATAAATTATCTTGTTTTTTAATTTTTTCATAGTAAGAGTTTTTCCCATGTGATTTGTCTCAGAATATTCAAAATTCTCAGAATGTGCATCAGTTTTCTCTATAAAATTAATTTTATACTTTCTCTTCCCCCCTTTTTTTTTTCCAAAATATTTCTGGCTTTTTGCTGTTACAGAAATGGTAAGGATAATTTTTCTTTAGGATTTTAGACATTGCAGCTTGGAAAGTTTAGAAGAATTTGAAGACAAGATTTATAGACCCATGATTCTAGAAGATAAAATATGTGACAAAATAAAAAATGTCTCCTTGGTGTCAACACATAATGGATGTATTATACAGAAAGTTTGCAATGAATTTCTTACTTTTTGGAGAATGTTTGGAAGAACAATGAAAACATAATAGTACTTGAATGTTTTACTTCTGATACTAGAATCAATTTCTTAACATGTTTATCTTCCCTTTATTTTTTTCTCTACTTTTCACTAGACACAAACATGGAAAAGTATCAAAAATGCTTCTAATCTTATCACATGGGCAGGCATTATAGAAAATTTTTTTTATTAATAAAGAAATTGAAAAACTTACATTTTTAAAAGATTCATCTAATATGTCTTAATGTATCATACACAGAGCTGGCACTAGACATTTTCCCGCCTGATGTGGATCCCACCTGATGTGGCATTTTCCACCTCGTGGATCCTAAATTCTGCTGCCTAGTGCCTTTTTAAATTCTGCTTCTAGTGCATGCTCTAAATTCTAAAAGTTTTGCTATTTCTAGATTTTGTTGTTTTGGTGTGTCACTTAATTCTAGAAATTCTGCCACACCAGCTCTGTAGCCGGCCATTACTATATATATTTCATATTTCTTCTGAATGTTCATATTACTAAAGAAAAAAATTAGCCACATTTTCTGTACATTCTAAATGCATTTAGTATTTTTTAGAAAAACAGAAATCCTTAATTAAATCCAAAAATTCTAAAATGAAAAGGAAACATGTTGAAGAAAGAAACTGAATACATAAAGAAAATTATTCTTCAAAGATATGTGCAGTTATTATTATGTAAATTACCCAATTGTTTATGATTTCAGCCTTTATTATAATTTCCCATTTCTATTTCCTCATATGATAGAGTTACTGAACCAGATTAAATTAAAATTAAATTGTATAATCTTTGACCACTAGTCCACATTATTAGTTTGAATTTGACTGTTCTTGTTTAATTACGTCACAGTGAGCTGTAATTGATTTTGTTAGCATCAGAACTTTATGTTCTAGCCTTTATGTTCTAAGTTCTTTTTAAATAAGAGGCTTATTTAAACCTTTGTCTGATATTGTAGTTATTTTCAGACATAGTGATAATATGCTTCATGTCTGCCGGGGGTTTTGGACTATTTAACTTTTACCAGATCAATTAAACCCTCATAGGTACATTGTGGAGAGGTTGACAAGTTAGGAGATAAAGCAAAGAGAGAATTAAAGGGAAAGTATTAGCACAAAAAACGAAGCAACTTGAACAACTTACATTGAAAGAAATGTTTAATAAAGTAAATAAATATTAAGCTTTTTTTTTTTTTTTTTTTTTTGTTAAATTTTGATACCTTTTAGATCAAAATTGCTCTTTATTTCATAAATTACAGTTTCATATTTAAAGTTTAATTTATTCTCAAACTTATTAACAATTATGTCAATTAATTCGTGTTTAGTAATAATGCATACTACTTAGGGATCTATTTTATTTTTAGGATGGTATTACAAAAGTGAAATTCAGGCATAGATAATATTTTCAATAGAATTTATTCAGTTCCCATTTGCTCATAAGTCCTTAAAAATTTTTTTCATTAATGGTCCTTAAAAGTACTTAATTTCCATGTGCAGAAATGTGTACGAACCCTGTGTGATGACTGCTTACTTCTGCACACTTTGTTTTAATTTTTGCTTTAAAAACTACCATTTGAAACAGTATTTTTCTGAATTTATTGTCTGTTTTGATAGCTTTAATTCATAGTGTATGATTCCTTTGTTGGCTCATCATACACAAAACATTACTTTTTTAGGGTGCAACTCTCCTCTTGATGTTAATACAGGAGGCTCTTATGGCCTATCTCATATCTTTTTACTGTAACATTACTGTATATTACCCACTTCTCATTTCTGGCTGTGAGTCATATTATTCTCCATTCTTAGCATTCAACTGAAACAAAAATTATGCCACAGTGCATGCTGGAATTGTATTGTGTGAGCAGAAAATATTGTGTTTAAACATTCACTTTGGATAAAGGTCGCTTCTTATCAGCAATAACAAAATAATTAGGAGGAGACATGCTTCGATTTGAAGACTGCAAACTTTCCTGGATGACCTATATTGATTGTAGTGGCTTATCCTGGTTATGAAATCAGATCCCAAACAAAAATCAATATCCTTGAGATCAGCGGAAACGTGCTTTGATTTGAAGACTGCAGACCTTTCTGGATGACCTATATTAATTGTAGTTCCTTATCCCGGTTGTGAAATCAGATCCAAAACAAAAAATCAATATCCTTGAGATCAGCAATTGAGTAATTTCTATTGTTACTCTCTAATTTCACATGCAAAGGCCTCAAACAAACAAACAAACAAAAACCCACTTTTAGATTGTACATTACGCCCAAGGGGGTGTTTTTTTAAACTTTTGTGTATTACCTTTATTTATTAAATATCATGTTCTTTGCTCTTAAGCCATGAAATTCAGTTCAACAGCCATATTGCAAAATAATTTTAAAATGAGCATATCTTTAGAATTTCCAATACACAGTGTAAATAATAATAATTGTAATGATAATAATAATGATAGTAATAATAATGATAATAATAATTGTAATGATGATAATAATGATAATAATAATTGTAATGATGATAATAATAATAATAATAATAGTAATCTAGGCACCTTTAGATACCTAAAGCCCAAAGCTGAAAAGAATAGAAGTATCAGCTATTTCACACTCTCTTTAAAGTAACATTAGGTGACTCTCAATGAAGTTTAAAGTCTCTGTGGTCTTCACTATATAAAATGCAAAAATTAAATAATTTGACAGAATTTTTTTTATCAGTTTTATATGGTAAGTAGTTATTGATTGCATACCTTTTATATTTGGGATAATTTTCCCATCAAAATGGTAATGATAAAATTTTCTCCTATAGCTGGTTACAATAATTTAGAGGTTGCAGAATTCCTTCTGGAACATGGAGCTGATGTTAATGCCCAAGACAAAGGAGGTCTAATTCCTTTGCACAATGCTTCATCCTATGGAGTAAGTGTGCATCTGTATTGTACATTCACATTTATTTATTAGGTTATTAAGGAACTTTTGTATTTTGTTTTCAAAATAAACTGTTCACTTATATGAATTTTAAATGTAATGAAGAATACAACCATATCAAGTTATTATTTTTTTATCACTATGTATATGTGTAAAACTGTATTAAACATTTAAAACTATGTTTCTGATGATTATAAAAACATTATTTGTTGATTCACAATGAAATTTCTGTTTTTGATTGATTTTATTATAAATGAACTAGCAAGTTTTCAAATAATGTCTGCATCAGGGGTGCTGTTTTAAAGCATGCCAATAAATTTGAAATTGTGTAAAAAGAATTCTTATTTTTTCACTCATTCCTAGTGTAAAATCCTTATTATTACTTTAAATATACAGTTTTGCATAATGTTATTGATTTTATTTAGAATCAGAAATTCAAAACTAGTTGTGCATTGCTGTGTCTTCTCTGATTCTCCCTCTGTGTGCTATCCCTATACCAGTATCAGTAATGAAATAATGTATTGAGGACAAAGGGAAAGCTTTATCTCTCCTTTTCTCCTGCAACATGACATGGTTGAGCAATTTATCTCTATCCGCATGCTGTATTTACATAGTAATCAAGCAGGAAGAAATGAGTATTTGTTTAGAACAAATTTAGTGCAAATTATCGTAATGTTTTATGCATTACTATTATGAAAAGGCAAGTTTTCTGCTTTGAAGTGTACATTTAGTTTTAAGATTGTATAATTTTGTTTAAAATCGCTTATTTAAAGTTGGCTTCTAAAGAATTGCTTTGTCTAGAAATAAAGTGTTTGAATAGTCACAAATTGCTGCATCTTACTGCAACTACACAATTACAATTGATGGATGTAGCATCATCTACAACCGTCGACTATGATAAAAATTATTCGTCTTCTGTCTCTTAAATTGCATCCTAGATAGCCTAAATTATTACATATATATGCAGATATACAAATTAAGCAAAAATAAGGAAGGACTATTAAGAATCCTGCACCTAGGTTGCAGTGATTTAATTAAACACAATAAGAATAAAAGGGGAATACTACTATTATAATTGCTGTATTTAAAAGTAAAATTAAGAAAGAATATATCATTAACAAAGTATCAAGTGAAGCAGAATATGTGAATGAGAATTGACAGTTTCTGTAAGGTTGGTGTGATGATACTTCACTTGAATAATATCAGGAGAAGCTGTAAAGGTTTTCGAGGCTTTGTGTGTTTGCAGTATGGACTTAGTTTGACACAATTTTTTATAGTCAATTTAATAATCAAAGACAGTTTTAGTCTGAGTTTGCTGTACTAAGACATAGTCCGATTCCATGCGGCATTGCCATTTTAAAATGGTATAAAATCATATTGAGTGGTAAAGTGTAGCAAATTGTTTTTAGTTTATGATGTTCTCTTCATATGGCTGAAAACATTGTGTGAGTATTGTAGTGCTGATGAATCATACTTTCTGAGCCAGGCAAGGAAATAAGAGTCATAAGTGAGATATTTTCACCTCTCAAAACAAATCAGACTTCTTGTATTTGAGTACCTTGAAATCATTGCAATTGCACAAGATACTCATTTTATATCTGAAGAATAACAGTGGTGTGATGTGGCTGCATTTGGTGTCACAAGCCAAACTGTCACTATTAATATGACATTATGCACTACCATGTTTCTTTATCATAACTGTAGAAAGTGATGCTTGATGCCAACCTTTGGTTTCAGTAAGGCAAGTACTACACCATGCATTGCAAGACTAAGAGGGACTGTTCTGCAAACAGTGCTCTTCTAGGCATTTGATTCCTCAGTTTAGAGATCTGTATGGTCATCTTAATTTTCTGAGCTAATGGTCCTAGACTTCATTCTCCTAAAATGTATGCTACCCAATTTTGTATCCAAGAGTTTAAATCTCATACTCTGTGTGAAAGTTTGCCAAGTTGATGGTGCAGCATTTTATGTTAATCTTTGTATACAGCTTGCATTGATTGTGATAGAGATACCTTTCTAGTTATCTACCCCCTCCTACGCTGAAATTGCAAATTGGTTGACAATTTTTCTCCAAGCTAATGCACCAAAAGGCAGTACCCATTTTCAGAATGGTGGTGCATTAGGAATTCTGTTCAAGAGCAATCAGTCAATAAAATTTGGAAAACAAGAATCATCAGTAATAAAATATTTACTTTTTCTGAGAAATTCTTTTTTTTTCTTCCCACTTTTGTTCTCCCATGTACACAGTAATCTGTTTCTATCAGAGAATTGCACGGGTTCAGAATCGTGCAGCATTGGCTTTTTTAAAGGCCAAAACAAACATTTCCTGTGTGCGGTTCCTGTGTGGTTGCCCTATAAATCCTTTTATGACATCGTGTGTCTCCCCGTAACTATTTTGGCAATATACTGCTTTTCTCCTCAATACTTTTTTGTGAATGCAGTGGGAATACAGATAATTAGAAAGTACCATAATTTTTAAGAAGTGAATTTATTCAATAAATTACATAAAACAATCTTCCCATTTCTGACAGCACTTATGTATATATATTTTAACTTAAGATTGCCATAAAAACCATCAAATCTTTTACTTCACATTATATTATTAATTTTACCAATTCAGTATTATTTGACTCAAATGTGAAATATGTTTATTTATTTTATGAAATTGGTATCAATTAATTTCCATTACCACTTTACCTTATATTGTTTATTGCCTTAGGATTGTAGAATTTAGGTTCTGTGTAATTTAAAACTTGTTTATTGAATTTTAGTGTTTTCAGCTAATTATGAATCGGGGATTTATTAAGTTTTATTATTAATTTCAGCATTTAGATATAGCTGCATTACTAATAAAGTATAATACAGTTGTAAATGCCACTGATCGATGGGGCTTCACTCCTCTCCATGAAGCTGCTCAAAAGGGCAGGACACAGCTTTGTGCTTTGTTGGTTAGTATTGTGTATTATTGTTGATAATGTTGCATATATAAGCAATTCTGCATTATTTTAATCTATAATCTTGTCATATTTAAAGTCATGAGTACAAATTTTGGTTGGATTTTGCAGTAAACTTTTTGGGGGGGACTTATGTGTTAAACTTTCATGTTCTTTTCTTACAGTTGGCACATGGAGCTGATCCTACAGTAAAAAATCATGAAGGGCAAACACCATTTGACTTGGCCACTGTATGTAAACTTATTGAGTTCTTTTTTTTCTTGAAATATTTTAATAATATTTAGGTATTTCTTTTGAAAAATTACTTATAAATGAACCTTATCATTACATGGATTCATAAATAAGTAAGATTCAGTATTATAGATTAAGCATATCTATGAGTGTTATACACTAGTTTCTTCATTATTTAGGAGAGCTTTACTTTGAATATTGTACATAGTGCACCTAAAATCTATACTGCATTTCTCCTGCAAACATTAAAATGCCATCACAGCAGCATTTTTATATATTAAACAGTTGGAAGACATTAGATTTGCTTACATTTTGGTGCTAGAGTGACCACAAAACATTGGGGAAAAAATAAATAAATAAAATGCTTTCAAAAGCCTTTGAATAGCATGTTAAAGTTTAAATGCTAAAAGGCATTGCAAAATTCTATGCAGTTTCTTTACGTTTCTCATTTTAACTTCAGTAAGAGAATAACTGCTTGTAAAATGCACTTGCAAAAGTACATATTTTTTATTTTTAAACACCTCTTCTTATACCCGTCTAACTGTATAATATAACTGCCCTGTCTAACTGTATAATTAAAATATAGTAAATAATAAGTGAGAGTGTATTATTTTTTTAATATAAATTAAATTTACCAAAGTATGAAAACAAGCGCAAGTTAAATTTTATTACATATAAACTGGCAACTTACCCCTATTCAAGATAGCTGAGACCTTTCTGTTTCGCTTCAGTTTTTTGTGGAAGTACTCATGGTTCATGTTATATCAGAAAATTAGGATTCTACTGTACTCATTCTTTTTTAACTGTACGAGTGCTTTTTTTTTAGGAGGGATAAATTATGGGGTATGATGTACAGTCAAACTTGTCGTTAGTAGACATTCATGGGACCAAGGCTTTTGTCTGTTGGGAATGTACTGATCTCGTAGTTCAAGGATCCTAGGATTCAGAAACTGACATGTGTAGGGAATGTCTGCTAATGAAGGTTCATCTGTATTTGTGAGAACATAACTGAATTGTAGCATTTTTAGCTCTATCTTTCTAATTATAAATTTATTAATTTATGCCATAATGTTTTGGTACTCATTTTCATAAATTAAGGATGATATAAATGATTTCTAAATAACACATTTAAGCAAGTGAGAGAAAAAAAAAATGCTTTAACAGATAAGATAATAAGTACAAAATAAGAGGAAGATTTCATGAATAAAATAAAAACACTGTCATCTCAGAGAGTTTAAATGATTTTAGGGGCTAAAACGGGTCTTAATTTAAAAATAATTTTGCTCATTGCATGGCTAAAAATATGAAGTATTGTTAAGTACTGATGCAAATAATTTAAATTTTGCTGTCTTTATTACTTTGCACAGTATTTGATCATGAAAAAGTTTCTGCCCCATATTCTTCATAATAAATCACCAGATGATATTGTATTCCATTTAAGGAATTTTTCCTTTTGTTTCAGGTCCCACATATTTAGGAATGATAATTATAGTTTAGAATATTCTCAAATATTGTCATTTTGAGCAATTTCATTTAAATATTGATTTTGCTTCTAGGCTGAAGATGTGAAGTGTTTGCTTGTTGATGCCATGCCACCTCCATCATTACCTCCATCCACCAAAAGCAGTACTGTTGCAACCTCTGTGATACCAGTTATTGCTTCTTCAAGGTAAGCATTCAGTTTTATTTGAATTTTGTTTATAACATAATTTTTGATATCAATATTTATTCTTTTATGGAGAATATATATAATGCTTAACTTTCTTTCAGTATTTCAACTCCATCTACCATTGCAAATTTTCCTGTCATTGGGTTGGAAGATGATATTCCACTTTCATTGAACTTACTTTCTTCTCAGAAGATGCCTAATGTATCAGTCTCAGGATCACAGCATGGTGATGGTTGTATGGATTTCGACAGAGCAGAAGCTCCAGATCCAACAATGGAGAATATCGGGATTTCGGGTTTTCTCTCAAATCTTGGCCTTGATCATTTAGCAGACATATTTGAGAAAGAACAGGTAATGAATTCGTATTTTTTTCCCCCTGCTGTTTGAATAAGAGTGGTTTCATATTGTTCAGTATCACAATATAACGAAAGCACCTGCATCTTTGCAACATTTAAAATCTTTATTGCTCTCTGCAGATGAGCCATGTTTTCAGTCAAAAGCAGAAATTCAAGATATTTGCCACTTTTGCTATATTGTACCTAACTCAGCTAATGGTTGTGAAGAGTACTGCAGAGCTATTATATAGCTTCTTGTGATAGTACCATAACAATTTTTTACAGGAGACAAATATAGTGACTATTATTTAGATTGTTTTAAACTATATTACATACTTTTCTTTACTGAGTGTTAAATCTAGAAATTTGGAACCATGCCAGGGAACGATCATAATTAATATTGTGGGATAGAATATTGTGAGACATTAGCAAAGAAATACTATATATTTTATTACCGTTCATTCATTTATTTTTCACGAATATTGCTTGACGTATCTTTTCACACTGTCAAAATTTGTCAGCTTTGACAGACATTAGAGAAAATAAACATGGTGTTTCTGAATATGCTTAAGTATTCTTCTGAGGATTTAGTTATCTGTTACACATACAAATCTAGGATCTGTTTTATATAGTATTGAAATATCAGACTAGTTTAGATAACAGAGGTATCCTGTTATCAAAACATAAGTTTGCTTAGATATGATATATTTTAGTGGCATTTCAGTCAGGGCTTTGGATGTATCCTTTCTATTTTGTATTTCAAAATTAGTGAGTGTATATGAAGCAATATATAATTTTATATTATGCCTCATTTTTGCCATTTGGTAGCTTATTCATGTCACTATTTTAAATACTAGGAGCAGTCAACATAGGCTGATACTGAATGATGCCATTCATTTTTGATAATATTTTCTTTATATTCCTCTGTCATTGAACATTGTAGATATACAATAATGAAAATCATTTATTTATAACTCACAAATTCATAACTTTGGTAGCTAATATTATTAGTGTAGGCTGTCATTTGAATTATACCATGCTGCATGATGTAGTCATCTGGCGTATACAGTACAAAGTTTTTAATCTGGACTTGTTGGGACTTCGGCGATTCCGGATTAGGGGTTTTTCCGGATTATAGATCATCAATTTAAATCTGGTAAGATGGCATGCAGAAATTATAAAATTAAAAATATGAAACCGTAATTTATGAAATAAAGAGCAATTATGATCTGAAGGGTATCAAAATTTACAAAAAGAAACTTAATATTTATTTGTTTACTTTATTAAACATTTCTTTCAATGTAAGTTGTTTAAGTTGCTTCATTTTATGTGCTAATACTTTCTCTTTAATTCTATAAACAGACATAATTTCTTGTTTAGTTACAAAGTTCTGCTGTTCAAGTTCTGTAATTGCTGTGCTGAGAATACCAACTAACTTGTCAATCAAAATTTTTTCATTTTCACTAAGCTCTCTCACTTTCTTAATGCTTTATCCATTTTTTGCAGCAATTCCACTTTTTTTTTTTGATGGACATCGAAACATGCTTTCGCTTTGTAGATCCTTTGGCAGCTCCAGAATCGGAAACTCTTTTTGACATAATCGAAAGCTTACTTTTTATAAAATTGCTCTACTGTCTGCAAAAAATAATAAGCTGGATTCAATTAGAAGATTAAGGAACAACGTAATCTGCAACATTAACTGAAATAGATAATTAGGTAATTTTAGCCTAGCTTATACCATCCGTTATACATTAAACGTGCATGCGTAAAGGTATTATGTGCATGCATATAAACGCTACGCATGTGCAGAAAGTGTGTAGCTTTGAGGTCCAGATTATAGATCATTCCGTATTATGGACGTCCAAATTAAAAACTTTGTACTGTATTAGTTTGCCAAATTAATGTACATGCTTTTATAGTATCACTCAGAAAAACAGTAAATTTGGATCAAAACAGTAAATTAATTAGTTGTTTGAATCTATTATTTCAATTGTTCAAAGTACCAACAATTCTGTCTAATGAAGTCTAAATATTTATTAAAAAAATTAAGAATTGTAAAAATGATAAAGTTTTTGGGAAGAATGAATAAAAGATTATATTGGTATCTTGGATTATTTATCCACAATTGCTCTGATGCCTGATTTTGTGATCTCTGATTTTGGTTTGAATATGAATTAACAAGGATTTGTCATCAATAGCTTGAGTCCTTTTTCAGTCCAAGGGGGGCAATTTGCCCTGAAGGACTATTAAATTCATTTTGGCATTTTGCATTGAAAACTATAAACAGTGAATTACTTTTCAAATTGTTGCCACCAAATATTATTGCCCTGTATTATATTTAAAGAAATTAAACAATGAAGAATCTGCATGAATGTATGTATGTTTCTCGCATTGTGATAAAACAACAGTATCTAGAGCCATCAAATTTTGAATAACATAATCTTCCATAGAATGGAAGGCATGTGGAAGCCTAAATTTAATTTGTTTTATTATCAATTTCATATTTTGTAACACTTCAACGAATTTTGATTAAAAAAACTAAACAATTTCAAAGCGACTAATGGCAACACTGTATTTAAAAAAAATTTTTTTTTTCCAGCATGCAAGACTCTGCATCGGAAATTCTAAAGATATGCTCATTTTAAACTTATTTTGCAATATTGAGGCTGGTGGCATGGCTGTTTTTGTGGTATTCCCCATGTGTAATGTGTATACGAGCCAGTTTCTCTTAGAAAGTCCTCCATGAAGGCATCTCCCCTTAGGCAGATAGCCCTCGAGGCTTTGCCATAATCAGACACACAGATATTTTGCGATATTGCTATTGAACTGAATTTTATGGTTTGAGTATGTAGAACATGATATTTAATAAATAAAGGTAACAAAGAAAACCTTAAAAAAATGCCTCTTTGGATGTAATTTAAAATCTGAAAACTTCCAGATTTTTTTTTTTTTTTTTTTTTTTTTTTTTTTTTTTGAAATTTAAGTATTATTACAGTAAAGAAAGATCAGGATAATAATTTTACAAGATACTTCTACTACTTTATTTCTTTCATCTGAACTTTGAGAGGTTAAAATACATAAATGAAAAAGATCATTGAAGGATTTTATGCTCCTTATATTTGTTTACAACTGCTGAAATAGCGAGTGTTTTGTATACTTTGAAGCATTATTACTTAATATTTCATTTTCATATTTTGGAATTTTTTAGATTACCCTTGATATTCTGGCTGAAATGGGTCATGAAGAATTGAAACAGATTGGTGTAAATGCTTATGGGCATCGGCATAAACTCCTGAAAGGAATAGAAAAGTTGTATACTGGCCATAGTATGTATTTTTTTTAAATTGATATTCTGATTAAAGCAGTTAACATTAATAATGAGTTTAATATGAAGATTAATAAGTTTTATTACTTTGTATTAATTTTGGTAATTCATTACTATCTGTCAAAGTTAATTTTCAGTTTTTTAAAGAATGCTTGTTAGTTTAGCTACAAGGCAGAGGCTACCAGTAATGACATAAGTGGCAAACAAAGATCTTGGTGTAAAAATAAGATTTTGTCAAAAAGATTTCATGTAATATGCTCTGACTTCTTATTTGTTTCAAATAGCAGTACTTAAATTTATTATTATGGATACCAGTAATTAAGTATTAACCTTGATGTACATACCCTAAATTTTCAGTTTGCTTGGTGTAATTTAGCTAAGAATCTGAGTGCGAGGAAGCTTGATTCTTCCTCAGTTTCCATAATATAAACTGTGGTAATTGTTTTAGTCTATGATAGTTCTTAGTAAGATTTGGCTGATATTAATTTATGGACTAACAGCAACCAAATGATACTCCTGTCATAAATATGTTGATTTCTTTTAAGCAGATTCATAATTTTATTTTTATCATCCATCTGCAGTCTTGAGTGGTACAATTCTGCATCTGCAGATGGATGATAAGAATATGGGGCAGTTCAATTTCTATAGTAAGGCATAATTTTATTGAACATGAATTAGAGTGTTCTTGATATTTTTGGAACACTCTGATTCTAAAAACACTTTGCAACTTCCTTTTTATAAGGGGGGGGGGGGTCGGATTCCTTGAATCCTATAGACTAGGATTTCTCAGTACATATATCATACTAACGGTACATTACATTATTTTTGGTGGTATATTTTTTACTCACAAAATATTTAAATGATTGAAATGAATCTAAAATGGTGCTTTTTTTGGTACATACACTTTTGATTCTTGTTTATTTGATTCTTGTTTTATATTAAAGTTTTAAGCTTTAAGAAGTAAGTTTCAGTAATCAATGAAATTTTAGTTATTTTTATAATAAAGTCTTAATTTTATTTTTTTATCAGAGTTACTTAGCTTGATGATGTTTTTTGTCTGTGGATATCTTCAAAATTTGTTGCTTTTGTAACATCCTCTTTCATAACTATTATTTTTAGATGCATCTACATTTATGCCAAATAAACCTGGCACATTGTTGGTTGAACTCAGTCCAGAGGACAAAGAATATCAAGCAGTTGATGAGGAAGTATGGCTTAGTGTTTATTTTGCTGTAGAGAAAAATGTTATGTGTTAAATTTTGTAAAATAGCTAGCTATACTTTAAAACATTTCTTATATATGAAGGGTGTTGTTAAGCAAGACATATTTTGTTATTTAACAAATGCATGGGCTGATGTTTAAAATTTTTTTAATTTGTAACAGATGCAAGCCACTATCCGGGAGCATAGAGATAATGGACATGCTGGTGGTGTTTTTGCTAGATATAATATTTTAAAGGTAATACTTGTCTTACATGGTTGATAATATCTTAAACTTTGAGTATTAATTAAAATGGTATCTTATTTATCAGCCTCAAAATTCTTGAATGTTAGCAGTCTATTGCATACTAAGTATCAAGAATGTTAGCAGTTCAAGAATGTTAGTAACGTTCAATTCTAATAATTTTGTGTTTAAAAATCTATTTGTTGGGCAGATGTATGAAATTGAAAAGAAATTCTGGAGAATTTTTAAAAAAACAAATTTTCCTTCATAGGAAGGGGGAGAGGACATAATTCATGTGTATATGTATATATATATATAAATGTTGTATGAACTTAAATCCATTTAGTGCGAATACAAGTTATTATTACTTGCGCACTTAAAGAGGAGAAAGCAATGTTAACAAAATTTTTGAGTTCGTGTTACGATGAAAACCCATGGATCTTCACAATTGCATTATATCCTGTTTTAAAAGTGGACTAATTTTTTTTTTTACCCATTTGCTGCTGTATTACAGAGTTCTGTGTTTCATAGGTGCGTAGAACTTAAATAATGTTTTCTCTGTACTAGCTTGTTTTTATTAAAATTGTAAAGGATACTGTTTACAGAAGCTGTTGTATAGTTATAGAATGGAATCCCATATTGTAAAGTAGCTGTTTTTATAATTGTATTCTGCTTCATATTTCATAATGTATGCTAATTACTTAAAACAAGTTTGATATGACAAACCATATTTTTTATTCATTTATTTATTTTTCTTTGAAGTGTGTTATATACCAAAAGCCATTATTTCCTTAACAAATAAATATAATATTATTCATCCGTTATAATATTATTCCTTAAATATTAAGTGTACATTGCTATTGAAGAAGAAATAAAGGCAGCAAGTTTATTGGGTTCTGAAAAAATATACATATTCTTTAATAAAAAATATGTAGTATTTAAAAAATATTTTAGTATTTATAAAATATGTATTATATAATATTTTATCCAATTAGTGTGTATATATTAATCATGATCAAACTGCAGCTTGTGAGCTGCCTGTTTTCTTTGGCCCAGCAGATGTGGCTTATGTTGTAATAACCTGTAATTTATTCTTTATATTTCTAGTTATAATTTGAGATAAATTAGGTTAATTAACCTTTTGAAGAATTAATAATTTAACTTACATCCTGCATATAATAATTTTAAAGAATTTCAAATTTTGCATTGCATAGTATCAAAATGATAAATGAAAGGTCTTTAATCTCATACCTTCAACTAATTAATGTGGCAGTACTACTTTTAGCATGGGTAATGTCCACCGAAACAGCAGGTTACAAAATACTATAACAACACACTCTATTAATATTAACGTGGGATAGACAAAAATAAAGAAACAGCTAAGTAATATATAAAATAAAAAAAGTGTTTTGCTTAAAAATTTAGATGATGCCTTAATTGTTCATATATCGTTTGTGGTGAAAAGCTTGCCGAACAACTAAGAAGTCGTGTTTGTTTCTTAGACACTGTTCTGTATACTTGCAAGTGAATTTGTTCGAGCTTTTAAGTTTCAAAGAAAGGAAATTTTCAAATCTTGTATAGTGAAGTGCTTCTAGAATCAAAGTAACAAATTTGTGTGTCATGAGATGCTATAACTAAATTCCTTTTATAAATATCAGTTAACACCAGTGTGTGCAAGAGTGCTGACTCAATGACTTAAAAAGGACAATGTAGATGATTGAATAAAAACAGGAAAACATCAGCTTCAAAAGTAACTGCTGGGTTGAAAACATTCTTTCAAATCCTGTCGAGGGGGATTCTACAAGCAAGGAATTTATGATTTATGGTGGAGCTGCAGTTATCAAACCATTACTGATTGATGAAATGAATACTGAAAGGCATAGGGAACAATGCATTACCCTTGTTACTGATCTATTATGACCGTCGTATGGTCTAAGGAATCAACTTGCATACTATTTCCATATTGTGGCAAATGTCAAATCAAGCATTTTATCTGTATTGCTTTTTGACACAGTGATCTATACAGGAAGTTCCATCATGGCTTGGGACCCATACTATTCTGGTGTTCCCATTTTTATTTTTCAAGGTCATATTGCTGTCGAGGATTTATATAAACTTTCTGAAGGATCAAACTCATTCTGTGATGAAAACTTTGCTACTTGCAAATATAATTTATTCAAATGATAAAGCCTTAATTCCTATATCCCATGTTGTGCAATCATAGTTTGTTGAGTCAGCTGATGAGATGGCCATCTTTCGTGGCTCCGTCACTAGACCTTATGATCAGTTTCAGAGAAAAAGGTTTGAACATATTTTCAACCTCCAACATCTTTATAAGAACTTAAGCATATTTTATATGGAGAATGGTGTAGTATCTTATTATCCAACATCCACGACTTCTGTTTGCCCATTCTGAAGAAAAATTCAGGCAATCCTGAGTACAAAAATCAGTCCTATTGTGTATTCATAAAGAAATGAAATTTATTTTGTGTTTTTATGTATTTTTGTTTAGCCCTTCAACCACACATCTTCTTGATCCTTATTATAAATAGGTATAATTGTTTTTTGCATTTGGAAGGGGGGAACGTACATCTGATGATCTGTTTCTCATCTAATGAATAAATTAAATAATTTAAGGATAATTTAGTATTGGTATTCAATTGAATTGCATGGGAGAAGTTTAATTACTTTTTTAAATGCAAAAATTTTATTAAATTATTTTATAACGTTTTTAAAGTGCTTTTTATTACCCTTATTGCAGTTTTCCCTCAGCATTCGCCATATCATTTAATTTGTTTTAATCTTTTCAGATATGTAAATATAGATTAAGATTAAAGAAAAATCACTAGTACTATTTCGCATGTTGATATATTATTTTTCATTCCAGTAAAAAGCTATTTACAATATTGTAAAGAGCACTTATTTTTTTAAAATTTTAATCTTACTCAATTAAAATAAATAAAAATCATCATTTAAAAAGTTAAAAAAATCTTATTTTATTTTTCTATCTAAATATAGAGTGTTCTTTAAAAAATTTAAAATTTGTATATCACAACAACAAACATTTCTAAAAACAAAGTACTAGCAACAAGAGTTTTTTTTATTTCTGTTTATAAATAATCACATTAATTTAAAATATGAATAAACCTTGCCAATTTACTTTAAACATCTGCTTCTATTAAAAATCTGTTTTTTTTTTTTTTTTTTTTAAATTAAGAAAATATTTACATGTGGCTTCTAGATTTCTAGAGTATTCTTGAATTCTGATGTGTGGATTTTGTGGACTAGAAGTTTGGCCACTTTTTTATATTTAACTTAAAATTTTGTGAATAAAAATTTTCTGCTTTTATTTTAAAGAAATTGTAATATGAAATGTGGTATTATTACAGCTATCTGAAAATTTTTTAAAAAAACTGAATTTCAGATTCAGAAAGTTAGGAATAAAAAGCTATGGGAGAAATACTGCCACAGACGGAAAGAAGTTGCTGAAGAAAATCACAGTCAATCCAATGAGCGTATGTTATTTCATGGGTCTCCATTTATCAATGCCATTGTACAAAAAGGTTTTGATGAAAGGCATGCTTATATTGGAGGAATGTTTGGAGCTGGTAAGTGGGTTTTAAAATTTCATTATTGAATGCTTGATTATAGAAGAATTTATTAATAGCATCATTTAAATCTTATTGATTTAATCATTTTAAAAGTTGTGTCTCAAACTTAAGTAAAAAGGAAGATCTGAATTTTGTAGCTAGAATGAAATTAAATTCTGCAGTTGAACTTTATTATAACAAATTTTAAGGGCCCGAAATTTAGTTTGCCGTAACTGGAAGTTCACTGTACCCGATCTGATCAAAAAAAAAAAAAAAAAAAAAAAAAAAAAGATTATTTCACAAAAGTATGTAAAAGCATAATAATAAATCAATAAAAACAAATAAACAACCCCTTCAAAAAAAATACTGTCGCATCTGCCTAAAGAAGTGAATAACAAATCTAATTAAAAAATCACATTGAGTTTTAACTACTAATTATGCACAGCCATTAAATATATTGGCTGTTTATTTCTAGTTTGTCTATAATAATTCTATACAATAGATTCATTGTATAGAATATCATTTATCTGATCCTTCCCTTGAGTTGCTTGTTTATAATCATGAATAATTACTTTATCCCTAGCAGTATAAAAAGCATTAAAATGATGAACAAAGTTATTTATTTAAATTTTATTTATTTCCTGAAAATAAAAATGATCTCTAATTTTCTGTTGATATGGTGCAAATTGCAGGAAAAGTTTATTCATAGTTGCAAAGCAAAGTTGAGTAATCTTTAAAACGGATAACCTGTGTCTTGCAGAAGACCTGAAGAACACAAAACCCTTATTTAAAGGGCATAACTTATAGAACATTTGTGCTCAAACAAAACAAAACAATAAGGATCATTTTCTTTCCTTGTAATATGATCTCGCAATACCTGAAATTCATATAATTTATTGCCTCCTCTTTTCCTGAACACCAATTTTAAAATTTCCATTGTAAATTCAGTCTTGAATAAAGTCTGACAACTCAGTCAAGGAATTTAAATGTAATCAAAAAAACTATTTATGTTTTTTAGTTCAGTGGTCAAGTGATGTTAAGGTATGCTTATTGTGTCCTCATTGTCCTAGAACTGGTTCATACATGTCTTACAGATCCTTTTTCAGAACACAGAGAAAAGTGGGGTGAAGATGAAAGAAAAGTGATGTAAAAGTGTTATGGATGGAATGTGGATCCTAAAATCCTAAACATGGATTATTTTAAGGAGTAGTATTTTTTTCACTTAAACTTTCAGAAATTCTTAAAAAATCTAAAAAACACAAAAAAGTTTCAGTTAAAAGTTATCCATACGGTTCATTATAACCAATTTTCATATATTTATAGGTTTGCTGTAGCAGTATAAAATAACATTAAGTGTGTAGGAAATTGGAGGAGACCAAAAGGTTTTGTTTATTACATTGGGGGGGGGGGTTGTTACTCTGGGCTTGTTAAATCATGGTTTGACCATATAAACAAATATTTGCATGGATTTTAAGCAGAAGTTATTTGCATTATGTAGTAGATTAGCTTGTTCATTTTTTAGATATTTAAACATTTAAAATTTTGTGCTTTTATTGAATTAGAAAGTGCGTAGAAAATGAGTATTATATTGTTAAATTAATGTTCTGGATCATCACATGTATAGTGCTTATCAATATAGAAAAATTTGTATACTTAATTATATAATAAATGTAGTAACAGTGCTAAGTGATTTAACAAGATAATGTGTATAATGGGAACTTTCGATATGTGCATCTTTTCTGATAGCGTTACATTAAATTTTGAGAAAAATCACAAAAATGCAGTTCAGGAATGATTTCTGCGAAGCTTGTTTAGAAATACGAGCTACAGAATAGCACTATAATGTGATCACACCAGTTAGACAAAATTACTTGAGTAGTTGGCTGTGATACAAATTAGCATACTCATTCATTTTGTTCATATGAGCTTTAGTACTGCATGATTACTTCATTTATGTCTATAGAAGTTTCATCAAGCAGACAAAACATAATGCATCAGTTTTATACCCATTTGTGATTCAGCATTTTCTCAACATCAGAGTAATTTTTTTTAGGCTGCTGATGGCACCAAATTTAATTTTGCACATAGCTTTATGTTCGGAGTGTGTTTAATTCCTACAAATGGCAGTCTCTTCTTGTTTAGAGAAAGAGATGAATGGCTCTAATTAACACACCTTAGTTATCAGGATTAAAAAAAAAAAATGCACTTATTTGCTATTATGTTAAATTCAGTTTAATCGGATATACTTCATTCATTTCCATTGAAATTAGGAAATATGTTAATGTGATATAAATCATAATACATAGCAAAAATTATATATAATCTCAGAACAATCATTTTTATTTATTTATTCTTATTTTATGTGTGTTGTGTTTTAAATTATTTTAAAAGTTTTTATATAATAAGTCAGTAAATTATTTTATATAAAATATTCATGTTTGTTTTCAAGGAATATATTTTGCTGAAAATTCGTCTAAAAGCAATCAATATGTGTATGGAATTGGAGGTGGCACTGGATGTCCGGTCCATAAAGATAGATCATGTTATGTATGTCATAGGTAAGAACTTGCTTAGAAAAACACTTGTTTTTTAAAATAGTTTCAGCAGTATTCTGTGAAGTGGTATATTTTTATAAATGTGCTTTTGGAGATTAGTTTCATGTTTCCTTAAGAATTAAGGAGTATGATGGTACATTAAAATTAAAGATGTAATTGTAATAAGAAAATCTTTGTTTTATTATTTTACCTTAAGTGGAAATTCATTTATTGTTCATAACTGATATTTATTTTGTGCACTAAAATGTGGTTCTGTAATATAATTTTGTTTTATATTTTAAAATTTCCATAGTATGTTTAAATACTCTAGCAATAAAAATCAGCATAAGTTACGTAAATTAGCCAAATTAACTTTCGAAGGTTAAATTAAACTTTCATCTTCAGTTCCAGCCAGGAAACTAATAGAAAGGAAGCATGTGCTCATGCGATAAAAACCTGTTGTTAAATTAAAATAAAATATGATAAATCTCTATTATTAAGTAATGAAAAATCTGTATGTATGTTCCTCGCACTGTGGAGAAACAGTGGCACAGCCAACAAACTTTGAGCACACATCCTCCTCCATCTAAAAATGTGTCCCTTGGAGCCCAAATTTCAATTTATTTTTCATGTAAGTTATATTCTCTGCAAACTTAATGAAGTTTTGATTAATAATATTAATGATTTAAAAGCTTTATGTTTCCACTTACCAAATAGTAAGATGTTTTGTCTTTCAAATTTAATCAACAAACTCAGCAATTTAAAAGAATTGTGCTGCCATTTAGCAAAACATAAGATATTGAATTTTTTCTTGGAAATATGTCTATTCTTAATTAGCAAATTAAGTGATTTAAAAGCAGTAATTGGAGCTGTTCATCCTTATCATAATTACTAGCTGGATGTGTTAAAAGCATTATATATATTTTCCTTCTTATGATAACTATGTTAGGCAGTTGGCCACATTAACTGCTAGCAAGCAAAAATTTGAAGGACGTTGCAGCCAAGGAAGTGAAAACAAAGCCTCTGGCACCATTTATTAACAAAAAGTAAAAACAAGTATGAAATTATTCCATTAAACGCTGAAAGTAGACTGATTAGAACTGGGATCATTTACTAAAACTGAAAGATGTTTATTAATGTAAAAGCTTTGTAGGAAATCTAATTCACCAATGAAAGATGCTTTTTTAATAGTTTTGGCTGTAGATTATCTATTGTCTAACACTGCTTGTCAAAATCACATTTCCTGTTTCTTTGCTATCAGTATGTTTTGTAAGAGTGCTATATTTGCATGTGGTATATGATGCATGTTAAATCACATTCTAAGTAGCATGTTGCAAATCATGACTGATTCTTTGTGCACTATTTATGGAAATGCCATGTAGAGGATTGAATACCAAAATCTATTTCATAACAAAATATTCCATTAGATATCAAGAATTTTTATGTTGTAAATGTGGTAGGTCTTATTTTATAAATCTAAAGTTGTTATTTATATTGCAGGCAATTACTTCTATGTCGAGTAACTTTAGGCAAATCCTTCCTTCAGTTCAGTGCAATGAAAATGGCACATGCACCACCTGGCCATCATTCTGTTATAGGCCGTCCAAGTGTGGGTGGATTATCTTATCCTGAATATGTCGTATATCGAGGAGAACAGGTATATATAATAACTATGTGTGTGTGTGTATATATAGCTATATATTTATTTGATGAAATGTGTTTGCTTGTTTTTGTGGGTTAATCAATTTAGTTGAGGGCTTCAAGCACTTTTCCCTTGATAAGTTATGTTTGAAGCATTGAATAGAGAAGATTAACCATGTTTTTATATGTACGATTTTTCTATTTTATGTAAATTGGATAGGTTTTTTTTCGCCTCCTTTTTTTTAATTTAATGGCACAATTTTTTTATGTGTAGATTAGATAGGTTTTTCGCATACATTTTTTTATTTTGCTTTGATTTAAATGATTTGACATTGTTTTGCATGTAATATCTGGAAGTAGATAGGATGTTCAAATGTTCTTTACAGTCCTAGCTAGGTTTTTAACCTCTTGTTTTCTTATAAAGCTGTCTATGACTTGCGCTAAAGTTGCAAAGTAATAAACTTATAATTTATAATAAGAAAACTTTCCATATACCATCTCCAAGGAACACAAATTCAATTTAAACCATGAATAGGGGGGAAAAAAGTCAGAATTTAAATTAGTATTTTAAATTTCAATCTCTTGTTGTTTTTTAAAAAAATCTGCTAAGATAAATCTTTAATTGCAAAAATATCAACAGCAAAAGTAAATTTTTTTAAGTATTAAACAAGTAGCTATTGTCATTGATCGCAGATTAATTGACTTATCAAGGGGATAAACCAATCTACCATCAATTAACAACTAAATTAATAGAGTGTTTCATCTTACTTCCAAGTAAGCATCCAATTATTTGCTAGATTCAAACCATGAGTCACAATTAATACTCAATCCAAATACAGACATAAGTCCATTTAAGCCAATAGAATCTTGTAAAATAGCAAATAATCTTAAAATTAAAGTTCTAAATAAGAACACAATTAATCTGAACAAGATACTTACTTTAGAAGACATATTCTGTACCTCTCATTTTCAAATTCAAAAATAGAAGTAAATGTATTAGAATATTAAAAGTTGATTCAAAATCATAAGAAGATCTAAAATGATACAATCTTAAAATAAAAGTTTAAAATAAGTAGTTAATAAAAAAACTTGAAGATCAAACTAGTAAATTAGTTTGATTATTTAAGTTAAAATTAACAGACTTGCCTTAAAAATTTTTATACCAAATGGTTGGAAATTCAAGTATTAAGTGATGGAAGTAAAATTGTTGTCGTAAAGTTTTCTATTTAAGAAAGTTTAGCCTAAATTGGTAAGAAACTTGGAATTCTTCTTGGAGATAATACATAGAGAGTAGGTTGTTACTAAAATAGTACAAAGGCAATTAGTTGAATATAAATTCAAAAGATAAACGATTAAAGATTTTTCTTAGCACATTTTTTTTTTTTTTTTTTCAACAGGAGATTGAAAATTTAAATTCTGACTAATTTGTTTTTTCATTCATGGTTTTAAATTGAATTTGTGTTCCTTGGAGATTGTATATGGAAAGTTTTCTTATTATGAATTATTGTGAATTATATAATGAATTATTATAATATTATGAATTATATATGGAATTATTATAAATTATTATGAAATATATATTAATTTATTGAACTAAATGATTTCAAGTTTTCAATTCCAATCTAAAAAGGAAGTGTATCTAATTAATTAACTATGTATCACAGAAAAAATCAAATCTTAGTCAAATTTTTGCACATCTTTATTGATGTAATATCAGTTGGTATATACAGAAGGTGTTTATACATTTAAGAATGATTTTGATCAAGAATTCAAAAAGAAAAAGAAAATATTTTGGAATAAAAATTTCTGGCAATAGATTATTTCAAAATGCGAAATATTGTCTACTATGTTTAAATTTATTCTTCTTTTAAAATATTGCATGTAGATAAATTGTAGATTGAAGGATCTGTTTTTGTGCTGAAGATAAATATTTCTATTCCATAATTCAAAGACACAAAATGCATGGTATTAAAATTTCCATGTGCAAAGTAAATGGCATTATTAATCAGAAGGGAAAAAATTATCAGAAATTACTTCTGTGCAGAAAGAAGACACCAAATACAAGAGTTATGAATATGTTGGTAACAAGAGAAACTCTGATGAAGCAGAAATTTATTGTAAAGTTTTTAAATACCTCTATAATAACAATAAATAAAATAATTAAACAAGTCAAGATTTACAACTTAAAAAACAAATATTTTCCAGCTTTTGCAGAGGCATGTGGGCAATGTAGGACAATTTGTAGAATCCTGTATAAAAACTACTTAGCAGGAGATAAATAGAAATACATTGCGACCCTTGATGACCTTTGATTACTAAAATGACTGCATCAAAAAAAGGCTAGCTATTATCAAAAACGAAGAAGCAAAAATGTTCGGACCTCCTTTTGTCAATGCAAAGAAAGTTTTAGTAAGGGACTTATATTTGTTGGAAGAATTTTGTTACAGTGCGAATTAAAATTAAGAAGAGTGGGAAGAAAAAATGTTATAAACAACTCAACATGCTATCAGGAAAACGTTTAACATATTTACAGAAGAAATTCCATTTCTTTATCCTTCAAAGAGTGGACCTTTATCAATACGAAGCAACAAAATCGTACTTTGGAAAGCACCACTGCATTTCTTGAAAACGTGAAGACTGATACAAGTATTGCATATATACCTTTTCTACATATTTCTACGAAGTTCCGTGAGATTTCACCTATGGACTGCTGTGCCTTTGGTCTCTTGAAAATAGCTCTTTCAAGATAAAGCCGCTATGATTTATGGACTTTGAAAAGTAATGGAAGAGGAATGGATGTCAATACCCTGAGAAAAGCCACTCTCTCATGGAAATCAAGATGCTGACTTATAGTCCAGAAAAAAGGCTGTCAGATCGACTACCTAAAAAGTATTCTTTATATTTTAAACATTAATTAAATAGTCCTGAAATCATTCTAAAATCCAATATGCAAATCCAGTATCCAAGATAAATAAATGCAGTATACTAAAACAAATATGCGTACACTGTAATTTGCAATAGTTTTATCTGGAAAATGAATTGTAAGTAGTGGTTTTTATAATGTGCATCAAGGCTATTGGAGCCACCCAGAGGGTATAGTGGTTAGGAAAGCCTACTGTGGTACCGAAGGGCTGTAGAAGGCATGGCTGTTTGTAAATGTATTGTGTCTTTGCAACCAGGGGGCACTCTAAATATATGGTGAGCTGAAAGTCCTCTCATGTGGTTTGGCAGTAGGGGAGAGGCATTGGATACCCTCGGACCTCCCCCTGCAGTGCTCTCCTTCAAAATTGGGGTGTAAGAAGAAGTCCTACCTCCTTGAGGCTCTAACAACTATTCTTCCATGAAATACATGGCAAGACAACAGCAAGGCTGTTGGAAAATTAGAATAAATAATGCTCTAAAGTTAAGTGTTGAATATATTTACAGGAACTCATTATCTAAGGGTGATTTAACTGAACCATTTTAAAAAAAAAAAAAGTTATGCATATTGCTAAACAGTGGAAAAATTACTATCACAAACCATCGAAATATAGCTAAACTATGTATGAAAAATTCAAAAAGGAAAATAAAAGTGCATGGCGAACAAAAGTGTGAGCAAATGATGGTTGGGTATTTGGGAGCTATTTTTATTCACACAAAAATATGCAGTTTAAATATACAAAATCTGAAATACATAGATATTGTTAAATGATACATTAAAGTGTGTTGTTTTGATTTTTGATAGTATTTTTGGGTTTTTGGTTATTCTCATTCCTTTTTAATTTTTTTTTTTTTTTTTTTTTTTAATTTTTGAGCTACTCATATGTTGTTAACCTAGATTAACCACAAGTTGTGTATGGCATTAATCAGCAACTAGCTAATCAGGAATTATTTCTGAAACATTTCCATTTGAAACTGTTGCATTTTAGTTTATCTATATTTAAATGTAATAAAATTATAATTTGTTAATTGTTATATTTCATATCTAGCTGTAGGAAATGATAACAAAAATACAAGTTTTAAACATGTTTAGGCAACATTTGTTCTCTAATTCTGTAATTAATCGTATTATTGCAACCTGGTGATAAGAAATGTAGAAATAATAAGTCAAGAAAATGTGTTATTTGTAGTACAGCAATAAAATTTTGAACTTCAAATTTAAGTTATAGTAATTCAAGTGAAAAATATGACTTTAAGCCATTTCATCATCAACATCATTTTTTTTTTTTGTTATGCTATAGGAAAAAAATATTATGTATTGTTGAACTTACTTCATGTAGCTAATATTATAGTGTTAGCTGAACATTTCCGTTTTGATTCTTAGTATGCATAAGGGAGAGTAACAATTTTTTATTTGTAGACATATCTGTTCTCTTGAATATATTTTCAGTTGCAGTTTTTATTTAAATATATTGCTATTTCTTGACTAGTTAAACAATTAAAATTTTAATATCTGACAACAATGTTATGCAATAGAATTATTATTATTTTTTTCCTTTTACAAACAGAGCAGTTAATATTACTCAAAAGGATAATGTGTCCCCCCCCCCCTTTTTTTTTTTTTTTTTTTAATTTTTTTGTGTTAAGTGTTTTCATGATTGGCTATTACTTTTTTATTATATCATAATTAATTAATATTTTTAGGCATATCCAGAGTATCTCATTACATACCAAATAGCAAAACCAGATGCTGAACCTCCTCCACCTCCTTCATCATGACCTTCTAGTAAAATAGATTATGAAATTTTTTCACCATCTCTTTGAATTAAATGCATCCATTGCTTCCATGCTTCCTCAAGGAAAAATCTGGATATTAACACTCAGTCAAAAAAGAAGAAGATAGTTCTATATCTTCATTTCTACTTGGTTGATTAATGAAATTCAGTTTGCGTTTTTCATGTCTTGAAACCATGACTTTAGATATATATATATATATATATATATATTAGTTTGTTCTCCTTTCTTAAATTATATATATATATGTATTTGAATTTTGTATAGTATTGTTCTAACATGCATTTTGACACAAAATTTGACTTTTCCTGAAATGATATGCCAATTTTTATTTTAATATTTTGATTCTATGACTCAAATTATGCCTAAAAACCAAATTTTGTAAAATTTGGTGTTAAGTTTAATCAATAATTTAGTTAAGTTTTTTTACTTTGTGCGAAGAATAATTCATTTGTCAAACTTTCCATTTTATGTTTAGCTATTTCCGTTCTGCATGAGCTCCTCCCCCCTCCAAAACAAAAGATTTTTTCTTTCTTGTGTTATATTTATTTTTACTTTATTATATATTTTACTCACTGTTTATTTTTATTTTTTATTTTTTTTTTTTTTTTTTTTTTTTTTTTTTTAGAATTTCATGTTAATTATTTGAGTTGCATAGTTATAGTTCTTCAAATATTTATTTTACAAATTTTCATTCATTTATTTGTGTTGCGTACTCTAAACATGTTTATTCATAAAAATGTTTTATTTATTTAAACCTTTTTTTATTTGAAAGAATACTTTATCACCCCATATTCATCACAATACCTTTGAAAACTACAATGTGCATTTAAAAAAAGAAACTGCTGTAAATCACGGTTAATATGTATTTCAGTGGGTTATTCAGGAAAGATATATGAGTGAGAAAGTTGTATACCTGCATTTTAATTTAACAATGATTGCAAGTCCATGATTTTCCAGAACTTTGTATGCCTACTGCTTTACACAATTTTATTATCCTACATTTAGTTTATTAAAATATTATTTCTGAATAAGTTCAAATTTTTCATTTTTTTAATCACAAAAATCAAGTAGCATAACAAAAAAAGACCGAATTTTATGTAAATAAATAAAAAATAATTAAAACATTTTGTTTACTTTCTGTCTTAAATTTTTCTTCGTAATTTCTTATTGCTTCAAGAAAACCTTAATGCCTTAATATTTTTTTGGCAGCATTTTTGCTGATACATCCGCAATCCTCCTCCTCTATATATATATATATATATATATATATATATATTCCTTATATACCACACTAACTTTTGAAACAGTTGTTTTCTGCAACATTACTAGCTAGGTGTGTATTTAAACTGAGGGTTTTTAAATCTGTAGTTGAGAGAGCTTCTGGCAATCAGGTCTTGCTGTTAGTATTTCTAACTTGCTCTGTTTAAAAATTATATTCCATCTTCAGCATTGTTGCTAGCCTATGCTTTAAATATGGGCTAGTAAAATATATGAGGAAGCTTATTTTATGTAATGTGTAATGCTTTTTTTCAATCTTCTCCTATCTTTAGCTCTGATATCATAATAGCAAATCTAACTTATTTTTCATTTGTACTGTGATTTAATAGTTTTAAAACTAACAAAACTGCTGTTTGTGCTTGAGAATATAATAATACTTTAAATATTTGCAAATCAAATAGTAAATTAGAATCTGTAATTATAACTGAAAACTAGAATTAAAAATCCTATGGCCCCTACTAGACAGCGAATTATTGCTATATATTTACCTTGCTATATATTATATTTACCTTGAACAACTGACAAAATACAGAAGAAGGTTTAAGTAATCTTATTTTACTTGTAGTTTGAACATAAATCCACAACTAGTGCTACAGATGAAATTTCCATAACTTGTGAATATATTGAATTAACAGAGCAGACAATTAAATTCAAACATTTTATTCATAAGTATTCTAAGACTGTACATTAAATAGTCTAAGAGTTGTTTCTTAGACTATTTAATGTATAATTTTTGTCAGTGTAGTATCTTAGGCTCTATTCAGATGGAGGTATAAATGTCATAATTGGTTTAAGCTGAGCTTCATTGCTAGGTAACCAAACCTTGCTTCATCACAAAAACTAGTTTATTGGCTTTGGCATAAAGTTTGAAGTTTCCAACTTTATGCTGATTTGGTATAAGAGTCAACCAGTCAGAGTGAATGTGTGAAACTTGAATGGAAAACAGAGGAGGAAAGCTGTAGACACATCCAAGCATATGCAAATTTATCTTCTCTAATTGGCTATGGCTTATACCTATGTTTAAAGCATCAGCTAGATAAAAATACTAAAGCCGGAATACAATTTTTTAACACAACTGGCTTAAAAATACTAACAGCAAAAATGACTGTGAGAAGGTCTCTAAACCAGATTCAAAACATTCATATTAAATACACATAAAGCTAATTTGCATTCTGGTTGGCGTTTAATTTAAGTAATTCCACTAGTGGCCGAGTGGTTAAAAGCTGGTGGTTGTTAGTCCTGGAAACCAGCTCAGGCAGATGAACTGGTTGCACAGTTTTTGCAATTTTTCCCATGTGCAACATTAATGCAAGCCACTTTTCCTTACAAAAGTCCTCCATGATGCATTTCTTCCCTTAGGCAGATATTCTCCAAATTTGTGCGTGATTTTTAAATGCAGATTTCTTATATTCTAGTAAAATTTGCCACTGTTAAATATTTCTGTAGTAGAAACAGCATGTTTTATTTATAGTTTTGGCATATTATTTGACCTACTCAGAAGTATTGAATGCTTGTATGATATACAATTTTGAAATTAGCAAAGTAAATTTAGTTGTACAGAAAATGAAGTTAAATAAAACACCAGATGATAAAACAGGGAAGGTAAAAATAGCAAAAGAGGAAAGGAGGAAAAAAGGTCTCTAACCTTTTTATTAATATTCTTTATAAATTAAAAAAATAGCTTTTCATGTATTATTAATTAATATTTATTGGATATTATTAATATAAAGGAAAATAAAGAAAATCCCTATGAATAATCCTCAGTAAAAGTTTATTTGTAAATTTAAATTTTAAAATAACTGTTGCAATGCATTTAAGATTGTAACAAAGTTCACAAACCACATTTGTCATTATTATTGCTTATAATGAATATGCCAAATTTGTCAAAATGTGCCAGCGTATAAATTCACTTATATCTTGAGTGATTTGTTATAAAAACCTCAGGAGGTATACCTAGAAATACATCTTCGTTAAGGCACGGGAAAAAATTTTTTTAGTTTTAATTAAAAATGTTTTTTGAAAAAATCTATAAAAATTAAAAAAACATAAAAAAGTGCTGTGTTATGTGGATTGAATGTAAATTTTGAATTCGGAAAGAAGGAATCAAGTAAGTTTAATTAAAAAAAAAAGAGAGATTAATAAATATGTGCAAAATTGAATTAAGATTGAGGATCTAAAGTTTTTAGGCCAAATTTTTTAAAAATTACTTGGGTTATTTTTATGAAACTCTGTTGTATGGCATAATCTGAGACAGGATTAAAATATGGAAAAAAAGTCAGTACATCATTTCAGGAAAAGTACAATTGTATGTTGAAATACCTATGCTAGATCAATGCTGTATATAATATAAATCTAATATATATCCTAAATTGCACTTTTGAGGCATGGAAAACACAAGTTGAATTTTATGAACTGGCCCATCAAAATGGGCAATTTGGAAATGTCCTTTTTTTTTTTTTTTTTTTAAGTTGGTGTACATTTGTTATCAGTTGTTTTTTGCACCCATGATTGAAAAGACTCATTTTTTCAGTTTGCTACAAATTTTATTATTATTATACATAACTGGATATAATGGAGAGCTTGTCCTAAAAATTTATGGTAAGATTTATATTTTTGCAAAGGTGGGCTCTTTGAGCATTTAAAAAATTTAAAAAATATTTTGATGCTTGCATATATATCCAGATGGTATTAATAAGTTTTGGCTTTTGAAGAAATTTAATTGATTTTATCACTTACTGCACGAGTTTATGAAGAAAAATTTTCAATTATTTTGTTTTTATATGAAGCATGCATTGTTATTCTGTTCGCTAAAACTTCATCATATGTAAGCATTTAAATTTTTGTTACTTTTACTACATAATTTATAAAAGAAAAAAACTTTTTACTTGTTCAAATTGTTTAGACATGTACTTTCCTGTGATATGTAATGTAACAATGCCTGACATTTTTAATGCAGTGGACCATAGTGAATGAACTAAGGATTCCCTCATGCTGTGTTAATTTTGTTTGTACATGATCATTAAACTGTGGTGTTGAAAATTTATTATCTTTGTAAATTTTATTCAAATGAAACTTAAAACAGATTGTATTATAAATGAGATTAATAGGATCTAGTACAGCAATGTTTCAGGGCTAAGTTTTTGTGAAGAACATTATATGAAGTACATTTAATCAATTAATTCATTTTTAGTTGCGTGACTTTTTAATACTTGTATAACATCTTTTATCATAATTTGCTCCATCATTTATTAATTATTTTCAACAGTGACTTTTTTTTTCATTGATGAAATTAAGAAGCTCATAGCTATATGTTGATTTGTAATATATTTAATGTTTCTATTTTTGTTACAATTGTTGAAATGCTGTTTATATATATGTTCTTTTGTTGAAATACGGTGAGCACTGACATTTGAATTTTTTGATCTAATGAATTAGTGAACTGATATTTATATTACTTACACAATAGAAATTTATTAGTTTAAGTAACATATATATTTGTTTCCTGTTTTTGAATTTGGTAATAAGTTATTGCATTTTTAAATAAAGGAAATGAAAAATTCTCTTAAGTATTTGTGATCAAATCTTTTTTAATATAAGTATTTAAAAAATTATGCAATATTTTAACAAAACTAAAGGGTTTGAGATTTGAATTATGGGTGACTATTTCATTATTTATTTGTGAGTGGCAAATTATCTGCAATAATATCCAATTACACAATAATTATATTATGTTTTTGTTAAAATAGTATTGTCATTTATTTTGAATATTCTGTCTTATTAGTAGTTCCTTATTAGTAGTGAAATTCAACTATCAATTAACTATTGTGTATGATTGATTATTTTTTGAAATTACTGTATTGAATAACATATTTATTTTTTTAGGGATTCAATTACAATTCAATTGAGGTAGTTGAAAGTGATATTACTAATATGC